AAGCCGGCTGCCCGTGAGACACCTGAGCAGCCGGAACCTCGTCAGACACCGTCTCAGAAAGCGGCGGTGACGGTGTCAAGCATGAACAACCCGCCAGTGCACAATCACAGGCGTGTGGCGTTAGAGACATCCTGGCACCTCTTCTGGATTATGACCCTAAACCCTAAACCTTAAAAATACCAAACCCCAAACCACGACACCACTCTCATTAGTTTGTTGGGCAAACGGACAGCCCCACAGACACTAACTGGTCAAACCAGAGTCTTTGGGGCTGTCCGTTTGCACAAAAGAAACCAAAACTCTCCACGCAGCAAACCCTAAACCCCAAAAACACCAAACGGAGAGCTCCAGAGACACTGGTTTGCCCACCCAGTGTCTCTGGCACTGTCCGTTTGACCAAAAATGCAGGCCAGCACTACAGAAATGCAATCGGACAGTGCCAGAGACACTGGTTGGATGAACTAGTGTCTCTGGCACTGTCCGTTTGCACAAAAGAAACCAAAACTACCCCAAAAACACCGAATGGACAGCTCCAGAGACACTGGTTTGCCCACCCAGTGTCTCTGGCACTGTCCGTTTGCCAAAAATGCAGACCAGCGCCCCAGAAATGCAAACGGACAGTGCCAGAGACACTGGTTGGGAGAACTAGTGTCTCTGGCACCGTCCGCTTGCACAAAAGAACCAAAAATCTCCACCCAGCAAACCCTAAACCCCAAAAACACCAAACGGAGAGCTCCAGAGACACTGGTTTGCCCACCCAGTGTCTCTGGCACTGTCCGTTTGCCAAAAATGCAGACCGCACCACAGAAATGCAAACGGACAGTGCCAGAGACACTGGTTGGGTGAACTGGTGTCTCTGGCACTGTCCGTTTGCACAAAAGAAACCAAAAATCTCCACCCAGCAAACCCTAAACCCCAAAAACACCAAACGGACAGCTCCAGAGACACTGGTTTGCCCACCCAGTGTCTCTGGCACTGTCCGTTTGCCAAAAATGCAGACCAGCACCACAGAAATGCAAACGGACAGTGCCAGAGACACTGGTTGGGTGAACTAGTGTCTCTGGCACTGTCCGTTTGCACAAAAGAAACCCAAACTCTCCACCCAGCAAACCCTAAACCCCAAAAGCACCAAACGGACAGCTCCAGAGACACTGGTTGGGTGAACTAGTGTCTCTGGCACTGTCCGTTTGCACCAAAGAACCGAAACCTCTCCACCCAGCAAATCCTAAACCCCAAAAACACCAAACGGACAGCTCCAGAGACACTGGTTTGCCCACCCAGTGTCTCTGGCACTGTCCGTTTGACCAAAAATGCAGACCAGCACCACAGAAATGCAAACGGACAGTGCCAGAGACACTGGTTGGGTGAACTAGTGTCTCTGGCACTGTCCGTTTGCACAAGAGAAACCAAAACTCTCCACCCAGCAAGCCCTAAACCCCAAAAACACCAAACGGACAGCTCCAGAGACACTGGTTTGCCCACCCAGTGTCTCGTTTGCCAAAAATGCAGACCAGCACCACAGAAATGCAAACGGACAGTGCCAGAGACACTGGTTGGGTGAACTAGTGTCTCTGGCGCTGTCCGTTTGCACAAAAGAAACCAAAACTCTCCACCCAGCAAACCCTAAACCCCAAAAACACCAAACGGACAGCTCCAGAGACACTGGTTTGCCCACCCAGTGTCTCTGGCACTGTCCGTTTGACCAAAAATGCGGACCAGCACCACACAAATGCAAACGGACAGTGCCAGAGACACTGTTTGGGTGAACTAGTGTCTCTGGCACTGTCCGTTTGCGCAAAAGAAGCCAAAACTCTCCACCCAGCAAGCCCTAAACCCCAAAAACACCAAACGGACAGCTCCAGAGACACTGGTTTGCCCACCCAGTGTCTCTGGCACTGTCCGTTTGCCAAAAGTGCAGACCAGCACCACAGAAATGCAAACGGACAGTGCCAGAGACACTGGTTGGGTGAACTAGTGTCTCTGGCACTGTCCGTTTGCACAAAAGAAACCAAAACTCTCCACCCAGCCAACCCTAAACCCCAAAAGCACCAAACGGACAGTGCCAGAGACACTGGCTTGCCCACCCAGTGTCTCTGGCACTGTCCGTCTGCCAAAAATGCAGACCAGCACCACAGAAATGCAAACGGACAGTGCCAGAGACACTGGTTGGGTGAACTGGTGTCTCTGGCACTGTCCGTTTGCACAAAAGAAACCCAAACTCCCAAACTCTCCACCCAGCAAACCCTTACTCTAGCGGTCAAGCGCGCGACTTACAAGCCCGCGCGCGCGGGCTCGAATCCCACCCCTGTCGAAACCCCAAAAACACCAAGCGGACAGCTCCAGAGACACTGGTTTGCCCACCCAGTGTCTCTGGCACTGTCCGTTTGCCAAAAATGCAGACCAGCACCACAGAAATGCAAACGGACAGTGCCAGAGACACTGGTTGGGTGAACTAGTGTCTCTGGCACTGTCCGTTTGCACAAAAGAAACCAAACCTCTCCACCCAGCAAACCCTAAACCCCAAAAACACCAAACGGACAGCTCCAGAGACACTGGTTTGCCCACCCAGTGTCTCTGGCACTGTCCGTTTGCCAAAAATGCAGACCAGCACCACAGAAATGCAAACGGACAGTGCCAGAGACACTGGTTGGCTGAATTAGTGTCTCTGGCACTGTCCGTTTGCACAAAAGCCGCCAAAACTCCTCCCTCCAGCCCCTCACCCCTAAACACACGAAACGGACGGTGCCAGATACACTGGTTCCTCCAGCCCCTCAAATCCCTAAAAACACGAAACGGACAGTGCCAGATACACTGGTTGGCTGAATTAGTGTCTCTGGCACTGTCCGTTTGCACAAAAGCCGCCGAAACTCCTCCCTCCAGCCCCTCAAACACCGAAAAACACCAAACGGACAGTGCCAGAGACACTGGTTGGCTGAATTAGTGTCTCTGGCACTGTCCGTCTGCACGAAAGCCGCCGAAACTCCTCCCTCCAGCCCCTCAAACCCCGAAAAACACCAAACGGACAGTGCCAGAGACACTGGTTGGCTGAATTAGTGTCTCTGGCACTGTCCGTTTGCACAAAAACCGCCGAAACTCCTCCCTCCAGCCCCTCAAACCCCCAAAAACACCAAACGGACAGTGCCAGAGACACTGGCTTGCCCACCCAGTGTCTCTGGCACTGTCCGTTTGCCAAAAATGCAGACCAGCACCACAGAAATGCAAACGGACAGTGCCAGAGACACTGGTTGGCTGAATTAGTGTCTCTGGCACTGTCCGTTTGCACAAAAGCCGCCGAAACTCCTCCCTCCAGCCCCTCAAACCCCGAAAAACACGAAACGGACGTTGCCAGATACACTGGTTGGCTGAATTAGTGTCTCTGGCACTGTCCGTTTGCACAAAAGCCGCCAAAACTCCTCCCTCCAGCCTCTCAAATCCCTAAGAACACGAAACGGACAGTGCCAGATACACTGGTTGGCTGAATTAGTGTCTCTGGCACTGTCCGTTTGCACAAAAGCCGCCGAAACTCCTCCCTCCAGCCCCTCAAACCCCTAAAAACACCAAACGGACAGTGCCAGAGACACTGGTTGGCTGAATTAGTGTCTCTGGCACTGTCCGTTTGCACGAAAGCCGCCGAAACTCCTCCCTCCAGCCCCTCAAACCCCGAAAAACACCAAACGGACAGTGCCAGAGACACTGGTTGGCTGAATTAGTGTCTCTGGCACTGTCCGTTTGCACAAAAACCGCCGAAACTCCTCCCTCCAGCCCCTCAAACCCCTAAAAACACCAAACGGACAGTGCCAGAGACACTGGTTTGCCCACCCAGTGTCTCTGGCACTGTCCGTTTGCCAAAAATGCCGACCAGCGCCCCACAGAAATGCGAACGGACCAGCCCAGAGACACTGGTTGGCCCAGCCAGTGTCTCTGCGGCTGTCCGTTTGCGCAAAAGAAACCCAAACTGTCCAGCCCCTCATGCCCTAAAACACCAAGCCCTAAACCACAACGGCCTCAGAATGGCACCTCTTGCGCTGGTGAATCACTTGCCGGAAGGGAGGTGATTCAGAAGTCTGAGGAGCACTCGTTGCATGCTTGAATCACGGATCGGAGCCTGAAGGACGACGAGTATCGTCCTCTTTCAGGTTCCGATCCGTGCCTCTTGCAGATTTAAGTGCAGCCTGGGTCTCACTTCGTATTATGTTTCCTTATGAAGTGAAACGCTGCTAAGATCGTTTGTTACGGCAGTAGCCCACATCGTCAGACGAGTCAGACACAGGCTGCACATTGCGCAATCCGTTGAAGAATCGCAAGACTTTGTCAGACGACCTCGGGCTGCCCGGTGCAGACTTAATTGGGTCCCGTGTAGACCAGTGACAGAACTGTACCGTGGCCCCAGCCCCAGGTCAGAGTGCACTGCAAACGTATTGATTCGTGTCAGACCTCATGCTCGAAAAAGGCATGTTACAAATCGTTTGCATTCCGTTTTATCGACGTCTGGAATCAAATGCTGAAATCAACAAGCCCATATCCTCCTGTAACTACAAAATAGGAAAAAAGACAAAAAGCTCTTTCTTTTTTTCACCTGGCCACTCGAGATTCAAGTCTTACAGCACAGATATACTGTACATGGGTCCAAAGTTTTGAGGCCCCTACATTAGGGTTTTGGGCCTTGGCCTGGGGTATAGTTCAAGATTTGCACGAAGACATGGGCAGGGTTTAGGGTTTAGGGTATGGACCCGTGGGTTGCAGAACTTCTGAATTCTAAACCTGTGAGCGCCGAGACCCAGGATGGGAACTCCAACAGGGAGCCTCACACTCCAAGTATTGTTTAGTACAGGTAGCCTTTCCCCTTGTTGGGCATTATTATGCCTCTTTTCTCCCAATATACTCCCAAAGGCTAACATTTCGTTCCCCAGGGTGCTGGACAAGTCAGGATCGAAATTTGGTGTTGTAAGCTAGTTGGGTCAACTGCTAGGCTAGCATACGGCTCCAAGCTGTGCTGCCAGGCTGGACGCCGACGCGCCGCTGCATGAAGTGCTGGCCTTGGGACCCGATGGCCGCATTTGTTGCGGAATGGAGCACATCTACGTATTGTGCGAGTACTCATGCCCCAAACCACCCCAAGTAGTATTCTGGACTTTTGAACAGGGTGCACAGTTCACCGCCTATCTACACCAACTTTCGTTTTGGAAAAAACCGGACCCTCTGGCGGGCTGCGCCTGGTCGCAAGGTTTCCTGCGGGGCGCACCCTGACCCTCCAATCGGTGGCTATCTCAGAATAAGCCCCCCTCCATAATATAGGGGCCAAAATTTTTACCACCAACACTATTTTGGGGGTTCCTTCTTAGGGGCCCCGAAACCCTATTCTAATTATTAAGGCCCCCCGCCATACAGTCCTTTAGAAGCTAGTACTAGTCTTTGTGCAAGTTTACTCTGCCGACAGGCTCCAGTTATACACTTTTTGGAGCTCGGTCCCCAAAGCCATGATTATAATATGGTCTTTTGGGGCCCAATTCCATAATGGTCGTATATTTAGGGATTAAACTGTGATATGGTGTAATGTAGACGTTTTAATAGCTAGAACAGGCGGCTTGTGTCTACTATGCCACCATGCTGTCAACATTACAACATAACTATAGCCGGAAACCGTGTATAAGAGTACTTGCATTTGTTCATGCATTTTCCCCGGTTAAACTCTCGGAAACGCCAAAGTCCCGAACCCTCAGCTCTCAGCGCCGAAACTGCAGCATCACTTAAGACCTAAACCATTGTACACCCTTAACCACAAACCTTCAGCCACAAAGCCACCCCTTCCTGCCACACAAACAACGACAAGTTCAATTAATGCTAGTGAGAATACGAATAACAAAATATAAACAACAACATAGCAACAAACATTAAACAAAAAGTTATATGTAGGCACAGGGCCCCAAGCAGTCGAGGTCTTGGAAGCACTGCAGGGTCTCGTTCTTCAGGCCAGCTGGTGGGTGGAGTGAGTGGAAGAAATAAAACAAGCAAAGCCATGACCAGGAGGTCTTCTTTTCAATGTTTTTTGAGGTTTCGTGATAGGGTTGATTTACATCAGCGTGGGACATTGAGTTTTGTTGTTTTTGGGTGTAGGGTTTCAGGGTATGGGGTGCGGGCTTTGCAGCTTCGGTTGTCTGGACTTGAATGGAGTAGTTTACCTTTTCTGAAGGGTTCTGCAACTGACAAGGAGCAAGGGTCGGAAACTTGGACACAAACGAGGGCCAGCCATAAGGCTTTGGCAAAACTTGAAACCCGAATTTACATACGAGGGCCAATTGATTTGCCCGCAAAAGGGCAGCTGCACAGTTTTACTTTCCGAGGCTGGAATTGTGTTTAGCTTAGCATGGCGTGTACAGGGAGTTTCCAAAACGTCTGAGTATCTTATACATTGTTAGTGTGTTACAACAAGGATAATACCACTTGGGTGTATGCTAGTTCCTTTACTAGTTATGCAAACTTGAGCTAACCTTCAACGCTCCCGGGGAATTTGAGTTTCTACGACGCTGACTAAGCGCAATAGGAGAGTGTGTGGCTACCGCATTCTGTGCATCGTACAAGTGTTAGCCTCGAAGCCCGTATATACATATATATATATATATATATATGTTTTTAATAACCTCTTCACCCGCAAGGCTACGTACTACTCACTTCCAAAAGTGGCACGGCAAAAGGCCTTAAAAGCGAAATAATTTTGCAAGGTTTGTTCCCAGGTTCAGACGAAAGCCGGCAGGCTGAGCTCCAGCGGTTTCAGGAGCTTAAAATAGGAGCCTAAGTAATTGCCTATACGATTGTGCAGGGGGGGGGTCCTTATTATTAGTATAGTATAATGGACCTCAAAACCCAATTCTATTATTCAGGCCCTAAACCCCCAAACTGAGCTTGCCGTTTGCTCAGGCGGCAGACAAGCATCAGATTAAGCTCCCGGAGGCTTTTCGGCCTTGCTTTTGTTGCATGCTTTGAGTCCTTGGATTTGCGGTGACTAGGATTACCGGAAAAGAACTAAGCGTTTCGTGATTGCGTCGCAGGAAATGAAAACTGTGGTATAAATACTCATCCCAACATGGCGGTCGGCTCGTAGAGCCTTAAGAACTACTGTGCTGATCCCTGCGCCAACCTATGCAGCCCTCGAACCTTCACCCTAAACCCCTCAACCCAACATCAACCCTAAACCCAGGAAGCCTTAATGCGCTGGACCGGCCTAATAGTCTTCTGCGATGCGTTTAGGGTTTAGGGTTCAGGATTTAGGGTCTAGGGTGTGGGATTTAGGGTTTAGGGTTTAGGTTAAGGGCTTAGGATTTCGGATTGTGGGTTTAGGTTTAGGGTTTAGGATTTCGGATTTAGGGTTTAGGGTTTTGGGTTTCGTTTTTGAGAGGTTGGACTTGCTGTGAAGCCTTGCTTGCCTGGGGCGTGCCTGAGGGACGGGAGGCTACGGAAAGGGATTTATAGGGGTTCCTTTAAAGGGTTCCTTAAAGGGGCATCTACAAGGGATCTATAGTAGGGTTCTATGATATAGGGGCCTTAGTAATTTTAATAGGGTTTTTGGGGTTCCTTATTATAGTTATAAGTATAATCTACCCGAAAACCTATTTTAACTATTAAGGCCCCTATATTAGTTCATGTTGTCGGTTACCTTGTCCTGGGAATCCAAAGAGCTACAGTTTTAAGGACTCCTTTAAGGGATTCCTATAAAGGGATCCATAGGGTTATGGGTTTTAAGGTTTAGGGGCTTACCTGGGGATCCAAAAACCTACCGTTGTAAGGGTTCGACCCTCTAATTAAGAGGTCATAACCTACTATTCTGTAGGGTTTGGGGATACAGGGTGGTTTTAATTGTTCTGAACATGGGAGACAAACCAAAAAGCAGTTCTCTCAAAAACTTCTCAACCCTACACCCCTAAAATCTCTACACCGCTTGTGGCCCTGCGACACGGGCGAGCCTAGGTTTCAGGGATTTGGGGCTTAGGGCTCTTTGGTTTTTTGGTCTAGGGTTTATAAATAGGAGATTGGGAATTTTGCATCGGTGAAATTTAATGCCGCTGGAGGAAACGATTGCTCTGGAAATCTCTGGAATTTCCAAGAAGGTCTGGGGGGTTCAGAAGCAGCATGGTTGCTACAGCGGGGCACACACCAGTTTGAGGACACGTCATGGACATCCCGAGTACCACTGTGCATGGTGCTCGTCTGTTGGCATGAACGGGCAAGACGGTCTTCTTATGAAGAAGCAGTGGAGACTTGACGTAGATCTGGAAGACCTTGCCACCGACCTCACAGAGGAACCCGATGCAAACGGTTTAACGTTCAGGGCTTCGGGCCAAGTTTAGGGCACATGGTCTACATTTAAGGGTGTCTGTGTGAGTTTCCGTAGACAAGAGAGCACCGTTAACAGGAGTCCCACCTGTGAAATTCTCGTAATCCCCCCAAACCGTGAAAAGTTCTTGTAAAGCCCTAACAAGGGGATTTTTGTTTGCTACTCGTCAAGGACCAATCAGCATGGTTGGCCACACTGATTTCAGGTTAAGGTGTTTTGCGCCTAGGGCCTTGCCTTCAGATTTAACTGTTCAGTGCCATTTCAAGTTTCTGATGCGGTCAGAATGTATGAAGCAGGCACCTACACATACTCGTGTGCAGATGTCTGCAGCACGACAGACAGAATGTGCACTGCATTGTGGGACACTAAGCCCCAAGACCGAAAGCCTGAGCAAACCCTACCCTAAGGCCCCAAAGTAGTTCCTTTTGGGGGTTCGTATATAGAATCCTATAAGGTACCCCCAAAAAAGGAACTACTTTGGGGCCTATGGGTAAACACTGCGTTGCGGGATGCCGCAAGGTTGTCCATGAGCAGAGTGCCAGCCTTAGCTTGTCGCAAGAGACGAAAGAGCGATTAAGCAGCATGGGCATCGGGCGGATACCTGGACCCTAGAAACCCTACTTTTTCGGGCTCCGCATTATGAGTTCCATATACAAGTCCTTAGACAAGTAGGTTACTTGGGGTTAAGTGAGGCAGAGCTTTCGGCAAAGCATTAGTAAGTTTGTGCTTGTGTGTGGGTCGGGGGAACGAAATTACAGAACTCGCCCTAAACTCTAAACCCTGCGTTGCTCTTCCGCTTTTCCGAGCTCCGAACTGACTTGGGAGTTTCCGAAAAATTAGGGGGTACCTTATTTTTGGATCCTTATAATAAGGATCCTACTATGTAGGGTGCTACATTAGGGACCCCTAATTTTCGGAAGCTCCCACTTGGGAGCATCGGGTTTAGACACGACCGGGGATCTGAAAAGCTGTTGCTTTATAGGGGGTTAGGGTTTAGGGGTCAGGCCCTCTAACTAAGGGGGTCAGTTTAGGGTTTAGGGGTCAGGCGCCCTCTAACTAAGGGGTTTAGGGTTTAAGGTTTATGGGGCAGGTTTTAACAAAGGGGTTCATTTTGGGGTTTAGGGGTCAGGCCATCTAACTAAGGGGTTTAGGGTTTAAGGTTTATGGGTCAGGCCCTCTAACTAAGGGGTTCAGGGTTTAGGGTTTATGGGTCAGGCCCTCTAACTAAGGGGTTTAGGTTTTATGGGTCAGCAGGCCCTCTAACTAAGGGGTTTAAGGTTTAGGGTTTCTGTGTCAGGAGTTCCAACTATGTAAGGGGTCATAACCTACTTACTATTTGTAGGCTTTGGGGATAGAGGGATAAAGGGATGCAGCAGGCCAGTTGCAAAGGGAGAACGGGATAGATGAAGTATGTGGGGTTCAGGGTTGAATTCCGGGCGGTACAGGAGGGAGATCTCCAAGGAGATCCAAAAGTCAAAGCTCGCCGGGGACGAGGTGATCTTCATGCTGGCAGCGTCAACGAGCACCACGAGCACCGGCCGCTTGAACATGGCCATCGACAGCATCTGTTCACAGGCCATGGCAGGCAAGCTCAAGGGCCGCGCAAACACCTCCCTCCCGAGGGCGCTCGGAGCCTCGACGACACACCTCGCGTCGGCCTTCCCTGACTTGGCAATAGAGGGTCCTCAGAGCTTCAGTCGTCTGTTGGGCGATTCCCTGGCTCCGGATCTCCTGGATGCTTTGAGATGTGTGCGTATGCAGTATGGTGCTTGGATTCTGTCCCAGTGTGTCTCCGATGATGGCACATGCGCATGCGATGGCTTTTCAGACTGTGCATGATTCATTGTTTCGCGACGATCAAGTCATACTGTTATTAAGCCTCCTTTCTGATAGGGCTGTTGCTAAAGTTGTCAGCATGAGTGTGTAGCCACGAGTGCTACAGCATTCGCCGTTCCCCGGCAAGACTTCAAGAGGCCCGGATGCAAAAAATGTGGGGTTCAGGCTGCACCACGGGTTCAGGCTTTACGTTTGTATTTGGGACACCCTCATTTTCTCCTTCGCCAAAACCCCAAACAGATTTTTTCTTGAAGCCCGACTGTAAACCCAGAACCCCCCTGAACTCCAAACTCTTTCCAAGCCCCTGAACCTTGAACCCTAGGCCAAAATCCTAAACCAAACCGTGAAACCTAAACCCCAAACACCTAAACCCTCCTAAACCCCAAACCGAAATCGCCAAAAGATCGCCCTTAAACCCCTAAACCCTCTTAAACCCGAAACCGAACTCCGCCCCCCAAAGAGCCAAAATGTTCTCTCTCTCTCTCTCTCTCTCTCTCTCTCTCTATCTCTCTTTCTCTCTATCTCTCTCTCTCTCTCTCTCTCTCTTCTCTCTCTGGTAGCTCTCCAAGGGAGCCGAGTGCTCATCGACGATGAGTTCTGGAATCAGATCTTCCAGGATCCCTCGATGGGTTTAGACGTTTAGGGCTTATGTGGGTTTAGGAGTTTAGGGTTTCTGTGGGTTTAGGGTTTATGTGGTTTAGGGCTTATGTGGGTTTAGGGTTTATGTGGGTTTAGGGCTTATGTGGGTTAGGGTTTAGGTGTTATAGAGCTTATAGGGTTTGTAAGGTTCGGAGCTTAGGGCCTAAAGGGTTTAGGGTTGAGGAATCCTTCGCTGGGTTAAGGTGTCAGGGAGATGAACTCAGGGCCTAGGCGTTCAAGGTAGATCCCGCCGAAATCCGAATCACCGAACCTGAGCACCTCAAGTTTTCAACATGATCGCCTCAAGTTCACGGTTTGAGTTGCGGTTGGCGGGCTTGTGGCTGTTTACCCACTTCCGACCCGGGAGTGTTGCTTAGGTGCCACGCTCAAAGGATCATGGTACTTTGCAAGTAGGGTTATGCATAGGGCATCCATACTTATAACTACTGATATCCCCAATGAAAGTACTTATAACCTTACTTACTAAGTCCCATGATCCTTCAAGCGGTGGTCGTCACTGCTCCTGTGATGGCAGGGTGTTGACCCTAACACCCCCCAAGCCCCAGAACCGTAAACTCTCAACGCTAAAACCCTTGACCCTAATACCAATAAGTGCTGGGCAGGTGGGAAAATTACCAGTAAGCCCCAAAACCCTAAGCCCCTAAGCCCTTGACCTTTACATTCTAAGGCCTAAACCCTAAAACCCTAAGCCCTAAAACCCTAAACCCTAAACCCTAAAACCCTAAACCCTAATACCCTAAACCCTAAAACCCTAAAGCCTTACAACCCACGGCCCGGTCGCTTTCCATGCGGTCCCAAAGGGGTTTCTTGAGCTTTGAATTCAGCGGACAGTGTTTGCCAAAGTTGATGCGTGGCTTTCCGCAGCTTGGGGTTTAGAGTGTCTCCAACAAACTGTATTTTTGTTGCGGCTATGTTTGTTTACTATGGGATCACCACCTGCAATTAGTGATCCGCTGCTTTACCGAACCCTATAAACGCTTCGTAATCCCCTATCATCATTGACAAAGCTCCTGTGACACTCTCAAGCGGCAAGTAAACTCAAAGTCAAAAAGAATGGGCTGCCATGGGGTCTGCGTTTGTGAAAATGTTCAGGGTTTAGGGTTTATAGGCTTTTCAATGTCGTCGGATGTTGTCGGGTGGCAGCTGCCCTTTTGCAAGTCCACACCCTAAACTCCTAACCTCCTGAGGCCTAAGTTGATGCCCTAATCCAAGAATCCTAACCCAGAGGGTCCATATACACTACTCTTATGGATTTAGGTCCCCAAAACCCATAATAACGTTCGGTCTTTTTGGACCGAATTCCATAGTAGTAGTGTATATGGAACCTCTTGGTAATTAAACCCCGTTTGAGAGTTTCCGAAAATTAGGGGTACCGTCTTTTGGGCTCCTTATAATAAGGATCCTACTATTTAGGGTGCTAGATTAGGGTCCCCTATTTTCGGAAACTGCCTAAAGCCTTAAACAACAGGAGATTGAATCTTCTCCGGCACAAGCCTACAATCTCCGGCGGAACGCGACTTCCATGAAGGCGCTTGTGCCCAGTGTTCAGGGATGCATATTTTGGCTTTTGTAAAGGGGTCGATGAATTGAAGCTTTGCAGGGTGTAGGATTTTATTGTGTTTTCGGGTGGTAAGAAGTAGAAGGATTGGCATTTAGACCTTAGGCGTTTGAGGTGTAGGACTGAGGCTTGTTTCTGTCGGAGCTGATTGTAGCTAGCAGCAGCGGCAAGGAGGTCAGACGCAGTAGCTTAGCAGCCGCCGTTGTGGTGGTAGCATCCGGTTACATTGTATCAAGAGCAGCCATTGGCAAGCCACCAAAAGCACTCCATCGTTCAGTTTTCCCTTGATTGTGTTGTTGTTCAGGTCAGTTGGTTTTTGAAGGGCCAGTGATTACACGAAGCTGTTTGGGGAAGTTGAGAACCAATGTAAGGCCTGTGACCATAAGTTTCTCAGTTGCTGGGCCAAGGGCTTGACACTTGATGCTTTGATACTCAGGTATGAGGATATCGTGGCGCCTGACCACCACTTTCAATCTTTCCCGCTTCCAGTGCCCAAAGTTGGGAGATAGTTTGCGGCTCCTCTGGAAACTTAAACCGCGGGTGAGTAGTGAATCTTGTGTGGTCCCTGCTATGCGGCTTCGTTAGCTAGGTGGCTGCGAACAGCAGCTGTCTAAACCGCTCTGTCTGTGCTGCTGTCCCTGAGGGTCTTAGCCCCCAAAGGACCTACATAGGATCCCTCGAAGACCAAAGTCTACACTCTCGGGACATGAGACTTTACAGCCTGGCCGCGGAGATCCCCTCAAGCAAGGCCTCGCAAAGGGAGGCGAACCAGAAAACCGTAAAACTCCAAACCCCTAAACCCGAAACCCTCAAAATCCTTAAGCCCTTACACCCAAGGGGCAGGAACGGGACCCCTGAGGTTTAGGAGTTTAGGAGGAGTAGTAGTAGTAGTAGTAGTAGTAGTAGTAGTAGTGGTAGTGGTAGTGGTAGTGGTAGTGGTAGTGGTCGTGGCAGTAGTAGTTGCGTAGTAGCAGTAGCAGTAGCAGAAGGAGTGGTAGTAGTAGTCGTCGTCGTAGTAGTTAGTAGGCATGGCAGCAATAGTAGCATTGATTTCGCACTTCACAACGGCCTCTTGCCGAGTGTATGTATCAGAAAGCTACCTCCGAAAATAGTAGATCTTACTAGCATTTTTGTTTAAGCCTCGGTCCGACAGAAATCTTAAACCCTTACCACAAGCCTTTTTCGCCCTTGTCCTGGAGGCGCGACAGGGCTCGCGAAACCTCAAGAACTTCAACAACTTGGTGCCTGATCCCAGGGTTCAGGGTTGAGGATTGAGGCTTGGAGTTTGGAGTTGCTTTATGTATCAGGGTCTTAGAATCTGGGTTGTGTTTTCTTGTAGACCTGAGAAGGACTCAGGGCTGTCGGGCTTAGGAGGGCTTGGGCTTTCCGGTCGAGCATGACAACAGATTTCGATGGGGGGGAGGGGCGGGGTTGAACGGCGTTCAAGTTTGAGAACGGCTGCGAATTTGGCTCAGATTTAGGCCTGTGGCGAATGACAACATTGCTTCTTCTACCCACCAATGAAGCCATAAGTCAATTAGCGTTTAGGCAGGCTTTGTGCGCAAGCGGTACACGGTACAAGCACCGTCCGAGATTGCATCCTTACTATGGTTACAGACGGTTACAAGTTACAGATTCCTACATGACCTACTCTTGATCATACAAATCCTCCACTACCTAAAGTACCTTAAACTATGTGAATAATTGTATTCCGTAGTATGGGTAATGCAGGATGTATATCATCAACCGTAGCTCAACAGAACAACCGGGCCGGTGGCCCGACGCCTCAGACATCGGATGTATCGGCAGCAGGTCAAGGACATCCTGATCCAATGGGGTATCCGAGAGGCGGGAGAGGGTAATATAGGGGCCTTAATAATTAGAATAGGGGTTTTGATGCCCATTATACTATACTTCTAATAAGGAACCCCCAAATAGTTCTGGTAATCATCTAGGTCGCTATATTGAACCCATTATATAGGTTAAGGGTTAATCCCTAAATTTGCTCATGGACGTTTCATCTTAGAGGCCCCCAGTCACATGGAACATCTCTTCTGACAGCTTTCGGATTTGTTTTACAAAAAACTGTGTTGCTTGCAAACCCCAGATGCCAAATGCCCGAACGCTGACCTGCTAAATACTTCCAATTATTCACCTTGAGCGCGCGCACACACAACACACACTCACACACCTACACACACCTACACACACACACACCTTCCAACTTGAAGGGCATTGGCCTGTCCGCAGTCCAACTCCCTAGGCTGAGGGGGCTTTCAGTTGGTCTTGGTACATCTTGTATGTCTCACCTCTGGAGCACCACGCCGTGTTGGCAGAACCGGAACAAGCCGTTGACTTTGAGTATCCATGGCGCCTTTTGACAGAATCAGTAGCTTAGGGTTCAGGGTTCCCTGTAATATGGAGCTCTTTGGCTCAATATTTAGGCAACTGGATCCATAGGGCTTCTGTAGAATACTTGACCTCCAGTGCAGCGCAGACTTCCCCGGTAAAGGGTTTCTACTGACGGGATACTAAGACCGCACAGCTCCGCAAATCCCACTGCAAGATCTCATGGTGCTTAAGACATCTTAAAGCGAAGACTGCAGAGTATAGGCACCTGACTAGGTGTTTGGGGGGTGTTCTGCATCGTACGAAAAGTATCTATACTTACGGGACTGGGGTTCTCAAACTCTCAGACCCCGCCGCCTTCAATCTCCCCTGAAATGTTCGCCATGTTCTCAATGTCTAAGGGTTCCAGTCTTACAAACCGTGTAGATCGGGTAGCTCTAGCCAGAGCACATGATCCTGAAGTGTAGGATTCTGGGCTTTGGCGTTAGAGAACTTTAGACCATGCTCGGCTGTGCTTGTCTCGCTAGGGTTGAAAAGTTTTGGAGGCACTGTCGAGACCTGGGCAACTCAAGGGTTTAGCACCATACATCAAGGCTCTAGGGTTTGGGGTTTAGGGCTGAGGGTTTAGGGTTTAGGGTGTTAGGTTTGCTCATGCATCTAGAGTCGACTTGTCCTGAATCTCGCTGTAAATGCGCTCAATGCCCTTGCCTTACGTTCCCCACAAGTCCTCTAGACTCACTCTCTAAGGCCATTGGAGCCACCAATCTGGCTTCTAAAGCGTTCTTCAAGCCCTTTAAAAGCTCGTCGAAGCCCTCGAGGTGGAGGTACAGACTGAGAGTCTTGAAAACCAGAATGACAACCTCTTGTGCACTTCCAGTCCAGCAGTGGTGATAGCAACAGCACCTATGAAATGTCGATGTTCAAAACCGAAAGAAACCTGACGACCAAAAAAATAACAGTGATGACAACAACAACAACAACAACAAAAAGGCAATAGTCATGAGCAACATAGACAAGTTTGAACCCAAAAGGTTTTGTTGCAGCAGGTCTCCAGCCATGTGAAGGGGGCTGGCCAGGACCGAGTGGCCTTCGTCTGAGATCGTTGCTTTCTTTGGGAAGGGGGGGGCAAGGGGCTGGAGAACGGTTGAGGCTTTACCTCGGGTGGTATGAGGTGAGGCCAATCATGCTGTTTCAGAGGCTTATTGGTTTGCTTCTTGGATGCCTTTAGGTCAGTCTTTGTATGGCTGCGGGGAGGGTTTCAGAGTTGTCGAAGGAGTGGTTCGGGAACGTTTACTTGGGGTTTAGGGTCTTAGGGCTTAAAGAAAGACGAAGGGTTTAAGGTTTACGGCCGGTTTGGGTATGATCGAAATTTCGCACGGATTCCCGAACTTCAACATCCGATCTCATCACGAACGGATTCACGTGTTACTGAGGAAAAACTGTTCTTCCTGTTCATGCAATGTCTTGCCGTACCTGGTACTCTTACATTATGGCTTGCCACGGTGCAGACCACAGCTGCGAGGATAATATATATATATATATATATCTATATATGTATATATATATATATATATATATATATATGCATATGCAAACATATATTCATATCTATGTATATATATATATATATATATATATATATATGTAAATGCATGTATGCAATTATGCATACATGTTCTTGTTTTCGTGTGTACCGGTGTATCTGTACGTATGCATGATGTGCATGTATGTATGTGCGCATATTGTATATATGTATGTACATACATGCATACATACGTATGATATGTATATACATACATACATACATACATATATATATATATATATATATATATATGTATATATATATATGTATATATGTATATATATATGTATATATGTATATATATATATATATATATATATATATATGTATATCTATATATATATATATATATATATATATATATTCAGACATGTAAACACGCATGTTGAAATTTTGGCGGACAGATAGATCGATAGGTAGCCAGGTTCGATACACGAATAGACATGTAGGAAAACAGGTTAATACTATACTCAGAAGCATGCGTGCGTTCCATGGAAGCAGTGTTTTTGTTAGCATCTGTTGCCAAGATCTCAGCATTGGACGTTGCAAGCGGCCGTGGTGGCGACCAACTCAAGTTTGTCAAGGCTTCTTTTGGGGTTACCCTACAAGAGCCCTGTACATGACAGAACGTCATCGCATTTCAGGTTTCAAGTCTTTCTGGTTCACCACTGCTTGGGATGCAAGATTTGGTCAGTGCAACATCGGGGCATGCAGTTTGTTACGGCTTTTTAATGTTCGTCGCCAGGTATTCGACATCGTGGCACCGTGACGAAACAAACCTGCATGTAGAGTCCAGTTACGGCATGTGCTTTCCAGTATCTTCCAGTCGTGTAGAGTAGTCTACATAGCACGTAACTTTCCACGAGACACATAAAACATGCCTCCACCGCGATTGCCTTCATCGACGCTTCGTGCTTTGTCTGCGTATGTGTATACATTAACACAAGCCAGCCCGTGCCGCGACTAGAAAAGCAACAGCAGCTTACACACGATCCCCGTGGGTGTTGATCTGCGGCAGGTTGTAAGTTGGTGCCGTGTTTCCATTTGTTTACATGATACCAAGCTTGATTGTAGACCAACATGGCCTCAAGACGGTACGTCTTAGACTCGTTAGATTACATAGGGGCACAAGGCTGCAGAATTGATGAACACTTTGGAATCTAAAGCCTTTGACAACAACCTACGTTGGGATGTGTGGAACTCGACGGTAGGGATTCGATGAAACGAGTACAGTATATCCCCAAGCCGGGGTCTTTATAAACCCTGTCTGAACGGCCCAATGTAGGCGTTTTCGAGCCTTACCGAGGTTCAAGTTAGGGGTTTAGGTTGGGGAGCCGGAGCAGGCAGCAAAACAGTTGCCAGTTCGATTCCACACCCTAAACCAATAAAACCCTTAAACCGAAAATCAGACCTCATGAAGCCGTGCCTGCCTCGAGCGAGTGTGCGAGACGAAACCGAAAATCCTGAACCGGGCTGAATCCATCCAGACCACACCGTCACCCACCTGCACACTACGCAATTGAGACCTGAGTCTTGTCACTGAAGGCTGAGCCCCAGTCACAGGAGTTTAGGGTTTAGGGGAAGAATGGACAACAAGGCCTGCTGCAAGAAGGGGAAGAATGGTAGTAATAGTAGTTCTAATCGTACCCTGTTCCTGCATTCCCTACGAACCAAAGGGGTAATTGTAGGAGCCCTGGTTGCTGGCATAGGGCTTTGGCATAGAGTATGCCTCACAATTCACAGGGCTTGTACGAGAACGCTACCACCAGTTCTTAAGACACCAGCACTACACCCCAAGCCTCACCCTGAAATGGAAGCTCTTCGCCAAAAGGCTTCGCAGTCGCAGGGCTGCAGGCCGGATGGGTTTAGGGCTTGGAGGGCTGTAGGTTGAGGGTCTTGGGTTAACACACCGTCTTTCTTCTGCGTGATTGATTCAGCTTTCGGCGGATTCGGTAGGACAGTCCCGTCGTATGCAGTTCCTTAGTTATGGATCTTGATGGCTATCGGGTTCTTAAAAAGGGCTTTGGTCCTAGTTCAAGTTCTCAGAGATACTTACTCCAATGCCACGATCAAGGAAGCGCGAACCGTGTGTCCTAATATCTTTTGGGCCAGGTACTGGTGTTACAAGTGTAGAATCTGAAAACTTCACAACGTGTAGTCGATATAGATCTTCCGATGTTAGCTCCATGACTCCTTGACGGGTGTTGTGAGAGTGAGGTGAGCTGCGGTTACCTCAAAAGAACACTGACAAAATTCGTGGGCCTGCAATTGTGCCGCACTTGATTCGAATTGCAGGCATACTCCCAGCAGAAGTGGTAGCAGTAGTCTTCGTCGTAGTAGTAGTCGCAGTCGTAGTCGTGGTCGTCGTCGTAGTCGTAGTGGTAGTGGTTGTGGCTGTGGCTGTAGTAGCAGTAGTAGTCGTCGTCGTAGTCGTCGCAGTAGTGGTTGTGGCTGTGGTTGTGGTTTAGCAGCAGTAGTAGTCGTAGTCGTATTCGTAGTGGTAGAGATAGTGGTCGTGGTCGTGGTGGTCGTGTTGTTGGTGGTGGTGGTGGTAGGTGGTAACGGTAATAGTGGTAGTAGTGCCAGCAGCATCGAGCAGCAATTCGCAGTTGCACTCGTCGTCGTCATTGCTGTGGCGATGCAACCGCCCAGGGCCCATTGACCCTTACAGCGGTTTCGACGATCACGACATACATGTACGTCCCAGCTTGTATTTGCTGCCAAATAGGCCGGGGCAACCTGTCGGGAAAAGTTTCGGGTGCCACAGGATGTCCCTTTCGAATAGAGCTTCTGCTATAGATGTTGTGTAGGGTTTGTAGAGTCATGACTTCCGTCAGCTGTGGCTCGGCTTTGGCCTGGCTTTGCGTGAAGTGCGCCGTTTTCCTAGCCACCCGCGATGAAATGCATTTTTTTAAATGAGCTTCAACGTTTAGCTTCTTGCCGGTGGGTATGTTTTCACTTCATGCGTAGGTCTTCGTATGTCATGCCAGACAGATCCCTGAAAAGCCAAGCGGAGTTTAAGGCGTCACAACACGGGGCTAGCAGCCAATCGCTGCTAGCCCATACCGTGTAAGGTACACTTCTTGGCTTGGTGTTAATGGGCTTTTTCGGTGCAAAGTTGTGGGTGCTCAGACACAGTGGCGCAGCCGGAAACAACTCTGCACATAGCCGTCCAGCTCCAATTGAAACCTCAAGCCCTCAATGTCGTGAGGCTTTGCTACACTGCCATTGATGTCGCGGAGGAGCCCTGTTCGCACAGATCCCGGAACAACCCAAAGCTTTAGCCCTGACGAAGCCCAAACCCAAAAACTTTCCCAAACCTTGTTTTAAAATCCGGAACCCTGCACCCTAAGCACCTGCAACCCTGAAGCCTCCAGGATGTAACCGAGATTAACAGCAGGTCTCGGGTTTACTGTGGGTTTCATGGCCGGGCGAGCTCCAATCAAGCCTGTGATAGAAAGGGGGTAACGGAGGGCTGGGTTCGGCGGGTAGGATAGGAAAGCATGGAATTCTGAAACCCCGACGCGCGATCCCGAAGTAGACATATCCGGATGTGAACCCAACAAGCCTGATGCAAAAACAATGTAGGTCTACGCCACGCGTTAATGTAGGGTTGCGTTATGGGCTATAGGTTTGCCGGCTTCAAGGCTTTTTGATGTGGTGGTTGTGGGACTCCAATAAATCCTAAGTTCAAGGTGTTTGTTAGTCCACGAGCCTCTGGAGACCCAGCTATTCCTCGGTTTACCGGCGAATCCTTCTCGAGGGCCCCAGTTATGTAAATGGTAGGTAGCATCAGGTAGCTAGTCGTTCAGGGTTTAGGTTGCCTTGTTCAGGGTTCAGGCTAATTACAGGGCTCAGCAGTTAATAGCCCAGTGACCCATTATTCCAGTAATAGCAGCCCATTCAAGTTTGTTTCGGGTCTCCACACACGTCTGATAGAAGTCTTTGGTACCGCTGTGGCACCTGCTGACGGGTTTAGGGCTTTAGGCCCCTCCAGGCTTTCTATTTCTGTTTGCGCACATTCGCTGTAAGCCACACGAGCCTCCAGCGAGACAGTTGGTTGGACATGTTTATCGACAAAAGCATGCAACGGACTCTGCGCAGTTCGTCATACTATGCCATAGGAGCAACAACCGCGGAAGGGTTCACCCGCTTCACAAGAGGTAGTTGCGAAACTTGCTCGGCCATGGTCAGACAGGCAACCATAATGCGATCCACAAATGTCCAAGAAATCGTAGTTGTGAAACAAACAGGTTCTGCAGGCCTAGCATCGCATGCCAAGTATTTAGGAGTTCCTGGTCAAACCCCAAACCCTGAGCGCTAAAGCCTCCCTGAGCCTAGGCTCCTGAGTAGTACCTTTCCCTTGTAGATCCCTTTAAGGTAAAAGCCAGAAAGTTGGAATATGGATTAATGGTAGGATCCCCTATAATTTACCTTAAAGAGGTTACGATAATGATATTCCAACTTTCTGGCTTCTACTGTACAGGAACCCTAAACCCTAAATCCTAAACCCTAAACCCTAAACCCCAAACTGCCGAGAGCGCCGCTGACCATTTGCATGGGCGCTCGAGGCTCCGACCGAGGCCCCCGGCCGAGCGTCCCGACAAGACGGTGAGGGAGGGTAAAGCCTCCCGGTATACGGGGACGGAAATGACTCGGCTACGCCTCACACAATACGGACGTCAGTCCGTTATAATTAGGACCCCAAACCCACGACCATTGGTGTCTTTTTGGGTCTGGCTGGGGGGTCTGGGGGGCACCCCCGGGGGGGTCTGGGCCCCCAGGCTGGCCGACTCCAAGGACCCGGGGGCCTCCAGGTGGGTCCTAGGGGGCGACCTCCAAATTTCCTGCATTTCGCCCCTCCCCTCTGCCTGCCCTGCCCGCCCTCTTGCCCCGCCTTGTTCACACTTCGAGCACCCCTTACAGGGCGCGAGATGCAAGCTGTTTGTTGGAAACCCTTGCTTTACATCGAGCGGCCGGCACAGGCCGCGAGGACCCACAACCCGACAGAAACCATTTCGGTTGTGATTTCTGGAGAAATATTATTGTTTACATGTCAAGCTGCGAAAGGAAGCAGAGAGCAAGAAAGCCCCCCTTGAGGGGGGTTTGGGGGGTGAACCCTAAACCCTAATTGAGAATAGTTGGGGTGGGACTACATGCTGACGCAAGCGCGCGATTAGTGGGTGCGCCCCCTATTCCTAAAGTAAAAGGCGCACCCACCGCGCGCATACTGTTACACACCCTAAACCCTAAACCCTAAACCCCAAACCCTAAACCCTAAGCCCTAAACCCTAAACCCTAAACCCTAAACCCTTCCCTTGTAGATCCCTTTACAGGAACCTCAGGAACCTGGGAGCCCCCTGCGCATGGCTCTAGGCGCAGGTGCAGGAGGCAACCAATAGGCTGCGCCCGGGCCCTGGTTCAGAGACTCCAATTATCTCTCGGTTCCTTCAGGGATCTATAGGGTTCCTTTTTGAGGGATCTGTATAGAGTTGAGGGTTTAGGGTCCCCAGAGACCCTTTTTAAGGGATTTACATAGAGTTTAGGGTTTAGGGTCCCCAGAGACTCCAATATCCCCTGGGGGGTTCCTTTAAGGAATCTATAGGGTTTAGGGTTTAGGAGACTCCAACATCCCCTAGTTAAGGAATATTCCTTAAATATAGTAGGACGCCTGATATGGTTTAAGGCCTGAAGCATATTCTTTAATTAGCGGATATTGGAGTCTGTGGTTTCTTTTATGCCCCAAGGCCGCAAGGTACCAAAACCTAGGTAGGTTTCCGCTTTAGGTACCTTCACGCTGTGAGTACTTCCAAAAGCTGGTTAGTCTACTTCCCTAAACCCTAAACCTTAAACCAAAAAAACCTAAAACCCTAAACCCCTAAACCACAAGCTGGTTAACTCTTCTGAAAGCTTTAATCTCAAAGACCTAATACAGGACTAGTTGCGGTTTAGGGTTTAGGGTTTAAGGGGTTGCGGGTGGGTTTAGGGTTTACGTAGTTGTATTGTCTCCGTCTCCATATACTTGTGCAGGCATAGTATACCCCAAGGCCCTTTGCTGACTATTATCCTGTGGAACTTCGTGTATGACGTTACATTACGTAATGTACGCCGAATTCCCAATCGCGACCATCAACAACTGCATTCTCAGAAAATCTTCTGGTGCCACGTTACCACGAGGTCGAAGAAGCCTGACAAGCTGCCGGTCCAAGCGGAACACAGTCCGGATTAAACCGGGCGCGACCACGGGACATCTTCAACCAACAGAGGGGAGAATCCTACCCGTGGCTGGTGGTTGACCGGTCCATCTTCGGCAACGGAGAGGCAACGGACGGCGTCACCAATGCTGTCACCTGCGAGACAATCGCCCAGAGAACCCAATATCCCTTAATTGAGGAATATAGCTCTTAATTAAGGGGCATTGGGCTCTCTGGGCGGCTTCACTGCCATGAGAACCTACCCTGACAGAGTGAGGGCGGACCTGAACCTGGCCGACGCTACCGTCCCAGGACAACCTTGACATCACGGGTGTGCACGCCGCCCTCCTGGCCGAGCTCACCGCGTTCTGCGCGGCGGCCAGCATAAACATGCCGTCGATGATGGACTCCTAGGCCTAGGCATCGACGAGGGTTTCGGCGTCGGCCCTGTTGATGAAGTGCTGTACTGTAGCTTGTGGTAGGGAAGCAGGGATGTGAGGAGTGCGAATACATTAAGCCTGTAATTCGCCAATGCCTTCACTGTACTGGAGAGACCTCGCCTGGCTTGTCCGAGACAGAGTGCTCAACCCCTAAACCCCTAAAACCCTAAACCCAAAAGGCCCTAATTATGCTTTGTAGGGGTGGCGGGGGGGGAGGGGCGGGGAGTCGTCGGCTCAAGCAGTTCTGCTCCCAAGTCCAGGCCCCCTAGGGATGGGGATGTTACAAGGTTCCCATGTTGTGGGTTCTGTGAAGTTCTGCTAAAGGTATAAGAAGTCCGGGGCTTGGGGCTTACGGAACAAGAAGTGTTCTATACTTGGGGTTTCAGAAGCGTTTAGACTTTAGGGTTAGTTCTGCTAGGGGCAGAAGAAGTGTTCTATATTTGGGGTTCATAAGGGCTGAGGGTTTAAGGTTCATTTAACTGAAGGGTTCTTGTAAGTGGGTGTCCACTGCACCTGTACAGTAAATACGGTGATCGTAAACTACCTCAATAAAGACCGTCTTTCATGTAGGGACATGAACCCTTGGGGCACTTTGCTCAATTTACACCAAACTCCTAAACCTAAACCCCTAAATCGTTAAACCGCTAAGATCTCTAAACCCAAAACCCAAAACTCTCAACCCAAACCCTAAACCCTAGACCATTGCGCTACCAGAAGCCGCGATCTGAGTTTGAAAAACGTTGCCAGGGCCTTCCAAGTTTGTATGCCCAACATGAGGTTTGAAGTGATGAAATCTCAAACCGCGGTTTAGGGTTTAAGGTTCCTCACTCCCAGACCGCGTACCCTAAATCCTGAAGGCTGAACCCAGAAGCCATGAGCCCCAAACATCACTTCAAAAGCCCCACAAGCCGCCGAAGCCTGGCACCCGAAACCACTTGGAGGGTCATGGGACTTACCCACAGGGTCCAAGTACTCCCTACAAGATGACTTTGGGACATTCTGAGGTACCAAAAGCTATGAACAAAAGACTACTTGGACCCTTAGACTTAGTAGCTGAAGTTATAAGTTTTATGTTCCTATATACTTATAAAGTCTTATAAGTAGGTATACCCGCAGTTAAGGTACTTATAACTTACAACTGTACTTACTAAGTCCCCTGAACCTCCCAGCAAGGACAGGGGCTGGAACGACAGAAGAAGCTGAAACAGACGCTTCCTGTCGGAGATGGGTCGGGTTTGTTTTGCTCTGGGCTACCGAACCCTACTTTTTGGCAGTGTCCCGATGGATGGTATCAGGGTTTCTGAGAAGAACCTACAAGTATTCAGGTTATGTTAGTTTAAAGGGCCCCAAATGATTTGCCTCGTATCTGGAACCCCCTCTGGGTCTATACGAGCTATCAGAGGGGTCTGCTTTTCGTACCAGTACTCTGTAGGGTTCAAGTATATACATGCGTAGTATGAATGTACCATTGTAGTATTCGCTGCCCCGGTGGCCAGACAGTTTCATCACTGGTCACTGGTACACAGAGCTTCTTTAAAACTCTTGTGTGCTTGTTGTTTTTTAAACAGGGCTTAGGTTTTTTGGCAAAGGTTTACGGTGTGCTTCCATCTTCCAGTGCAACCTTATGAAACTTGTAAACCTTTATGAAATTTGTTAGCCCGGTTTCACCGGCTGTTCCACTGTATCCACGCAGTCGCGAGGTCTCGTCCTTTTGCTCTGCCTTGCGCCCTAAGCCAAGGCCCTGAACCCGAAATAACTCTTCAACCAAACCGCTTCCTGCACAATCCTGGCTACTGAAAACGGCGAAACATAACTCGTGTTGCTTCTCAGGCGCGCACGGTACCTTCACACGTCAGCCCTATAAACCCTATAGCCGACGGAAGACGCCCATACAATCAAACGTGCAGCCTCGTACAAGGTGGCGACTCCCCAACGACACAATATGCCCTGTCAGACCATATTTGCGCGCACTATTTCAGCCCTGACACCCTAACACCCTAAACCGAAGCCCAAAACCTTGAAACTCTAACGCCCCAAAACTGTTAAATCCTTGTGCAACCTGGCAAAACACGCCATTGAATGCCTTTGACAGCCTGTAAAAACACACCCCAAAAGACTTTAATCTCGGATAAGACCCTTTTTTCAAAAGCTTAAATCCCAAACCGTAAACACAAAACTAAACCCTAAACACTAAACCGCAAACCCTAAACCCTAACCTCCCGACTTTTATTACTCCGAGATTGCTGGCCGCCCGGTTCTTCGTCGGCGCCTCCCCTAGAGTTTCAAGGGAGTTTCGGTGTCCTGTAGAGGGTTTTGGGGTTTAGGGCTTAGGGAAAAGTTAGGTTTTAGGGCTTAGGGTTTAGGGTTTAGGTTTCACAGGGTTTTGGGGTTTAGGGTTTAGGCCTTAGGGTGTGTTCCTTCAGTGGGTTCATGTAAAGACGGGTTGTGTAAAGGGTTCTCTGCACCTGGACCCCCCCAACTATCCTCTATTATACCCCAAATACCCACTATTAGGGACCACAAGGGCTCTGTTAAAGGGGTCCTGGCAGGGGTCTATTAGGGTTTGGGGATAGAGCTTAGAGTTCCTGTCAATCGCCGCTGTAGGTACCTCGAAAGAGTTCGGACAAAGGGTCTTAACAGTGTTGAAAAGGATTCAGGGTTGAGAGGTTAGGGACTTCCTCGCGAGTTTCGTTTGCACATTTTGCGAGCTTTATAGGGCTGTGGTGTGTTTTTATAAGGTTGGACTGGTGAGGATTGGCTTCAGATGCTTGCTGGTACTGGCATCCCACCCAGCCTAGTTAATCCCCTCAAGCCTAGTTCCTTTAAGCCCAGACTCCCCCAATCTACAGCACTGGTGCTAACCACAATTCGCAGCAGACATTACAACAAGCCCTAGCAAACCCCCTGTAGAGCTGCTCTGATTTGATTGTGGATTCACTGTTGGGCCTTGTACAGGGATATCTGGGAGTTAGGACGCCGGAAACCGTTCTAAACTCGGGCAACCAGAATATGACCTTGCTTCTATGTGGTTCCACGAGGCAGTGGTTTAGTTGGCCGCTGAGCCTGTGAATGTTACTACATTACATAGGGAACTTAAGGAACAGCTTGTTGTGCTGGCGCAGTGGTAGACCGTGGGACTTGAGGGGCGGACCATCTTGTTATGACGGCAAACAGAACGTTCATGGATGTAATATGAACCCGTTATTGGTTCCAGTTGGCTGAGCAAGAACGATGCTGGCCTGATGAGGCTTTATGTGCGTGAGCCTATTCAAGCGCCACAGCATAGGGTGCCCTGGCTGCTTTCATTGACAGCTGTTACACAGTACGCCAAAGGGTCAAGGTACTAATATAGTAGGCTCTGAATAGGTCGTTGTGCACCGCCAGTATAACTGGGACACTCTGGGACCTTGTGGGAACTGCTCCCGGGGGCTCGGGAGCGCGAAATAGCGACTCCGCACTTGCCATGTAAGTGTCAAAACCCTAAACTGCGGAATTCTTGTGAGTGTTCAAGACGGCAGGTACACGCCCTAAGCTGGGTCAGTCGTCCGCGTTTTCCTTGCAGCACAGATATGGCGCGGGAGGTGTTTCCATGCATTTGGTTCCCAAGCAAGTCACTCGAGTGTCCAGGCGGCATTGGTTGTCTTTGTTCTTGGTGATGTTCCTCGGTTTTCCGTTGAGTCCAGGGTCATCTTCGAAGAATGGCAAAAACAAGATTGCCTGCTGGCGCTGCTTGATACTGCAAAAGAATGCAAAAGATGCAATGTACCTATGTGTGTGTATATATATATATATATATATAGATATATGTATACATGTATGTATGTGCGCTTATATACATATATACATATATAGATATACGTGTGTGTGTGTGAGAGTACTATTTTGAGGGTGTGCTAGCGGCTTACTGCTATGATCTGCACACATGCGAGAGTACTGATGGCCACGGGCTTTCGAGAGTGGAGCCACCCAACTCGCTACAGTTGCAGATGCCAAAAGAGCGTAAGGAGTTACAGGGGGTCCTGTAGTACCCCTACTCAAAGCATCATGGGACTTAGTAACTAGGGTTATAAATAAGGTAACCATACTTATAACCCAATTAAGGTACTTACAACCTTACGTACTAAGTCCCATGATCCTCCAAGTAGCACGGAATGATCCTTGTGAGCAGGAAAGCGGCTCAGGGATTTACACAAAGTCCCAGAGTTTGGGGTTTAGGGTGCCTTAGGAGCATCCTTTAGGCCTGCCTTCTTGTGTAAGGATAGCTGGCTGGACGGAGAGTCCCTAGATTCGTTTAGGGCCTAGATTAGCTCATGAAGCTCTCCGGCTTCCTTGTGCCACTGTGTCAGGACCTGGGCCGAGATGTTTGATCCCAGGGTCTACGCCGTGACCCGTTGTGGATCACTGCTGCCTTTCGGACAGAAGATATGCGCAGCTGTCGACAGTCATGGCAGGAAAGGCGTCAGGTTTGGGGTTGGAGAGTCTGAATCAGAGTTGTTTTGAACATGGGTCTCGAGCTTTGAGAGCATACAGCATCTCCACATGACACACAGCATCTCATGTCAAGGAAGTCTCTTGCAAGCCTGGTGCTCCTTCTACTGGGTTCAATCGCTATACCGCTTCAGCCACTTGGTTTCAAGTATCGCGCATTTTCGGTGTTGGGGGAATTGGAATTAAGGTCTAAGGCCCCTAGGTAGTAGCTTCCGTGCAAACAGAGGAAGATCGATCGCTGGGACAATATGAACGAGGGAGAAAAGCATTGTCGAACAGCCGTCTGGCTGTTTTGCAAATGCTTCCTCACGGTTTGTCTACATATGCTCATGGCTGCCTGTGGAGCGGTTATCCATATCTACCGTGCTATATCTTGTAAAATGCCGATGGCGACAGCAGACTCGTCGCACGAAGCCTTCTTAGCCAGGGATGTTGAGATCGGTTCACAGCAGTGTCAGCGTCGGCATTACAGGGGCAGCACAGATGTTTGTGGGAGAGGCTATTGCAGAGAGCATTGCTTCGGCTGCGGCCAGCACCGGCATCGCTGCTGCCAAGTGCGTCAGGCGCAACGGACCGTTTGTGACAAGCAGCTCTGCAAGAAGCATTGTTACGGCTGCGCATGGCATCCTCGGAAGGATACAGAGGCTGCCATTCTTTCTAGGGTTAAGGCGGCCATGTCATCTTGTCGAAACTTTGCCACTTTTGCTGACAAATTGGCTCCCCGACACAACCGGCCGCCCAAATGGCTGCTTGACAGAATCATTGCTGGTGCCAAGAGCATTTGGCGGCAGGATTTCATCACACTGGAGCTTCAAGGGTCAGCAAAGAAAGGGACCAATATTAGTGGCTCCGACTTCGACTATCATATCGTTACAGCCGGTGGTGTCGATTTGTCTGACATGCATCGCTTGCGAGATACCTTATCCGCAGCTGGCATCGAAGTCCACGAAAACATAGCTGTGGTATGATCATGGCGGTCACAACCATGTGGGAACACCAGAGTTGGTGCCACGGCACGGTACGTACTTCCCTCCACATGCTGACATCAGCACAGCGGATCCCTATTTCGAAGGCAACCGAGCGGCCCAGCGAGCAGTTCGTGTCCTGAAATACTTATTCTCACAATGCCAACCTAGGCTGAAGTCTTGCTTCATAGAAGATTTGGTCAAGATTGCAGATGGCAAGGATCCCTGGAATCGCATCCGGCAACAAAGCCAGCTTATTGTCGCTGAAGTTGACGACCATGGCCTGCGGCTTTTTGAAAAGGTTATCACGGACCTCCAGCGATATCCGAACTGTTCCGCCAGCAGTGTGACACACCGACATCGGCAGGTGGACAGCGCAAAGCTTGCCGCGATGGCGAAGATGGCACTCAAGCTGCCATGGAGAGGAAAACACATACCAATGGCTGCTTGAGGTGCAATTCCAGTCGTACTTTCTTCTGCGGCTTCGACAAAGTTTGCGATGCAGTATTTCTTCTTCACGTTGCCTACACCGATGTATGGGTCATCCAAGGATATCCTTGCAATCTGTCGGTTGAAGTCGGGACAAGTTTTGGGGGCTTTAAGCCTCAGAGTCCCAAGTGGGTTTTTCTCAGTCGTGCTGTGTGCTCACTACTCGGGCTCCAGACATACGATTCCCCGTTTGAACAAATACGGGGTCTGTATTGGGTTGTGGGCGTCTGGCTGAGGTTTGGGGTTTTACCCTACACGCCTTCAAATCGTAGACGACCTGTACATTCTTGATACCCGAACTCCCAAACCCTGCATGGCTCGCTTGGGTCTGAGGTTCAGGATTCCATGGACCGTGCAAGGTTTCTTCATCCAGACTCCGAGTTGAATGGTGCTGTTTCCGGAAAATGCAGCCCTCAGGCGTTCCATTGTTCCATGTAACAAAAGAACACGTCCCGAAAACCACTGTGCTGCCTTGGAATTTCGAAGTGTACTTGCAAGAACCACCGTTGGGCATCGTTTTCCAGAGTCTAGCTGTATCCCCAAACCTTACAAAAATAGTAGGCTATGACCCCTTAGTTAGAGGGCCTAGCCCCTGAAACAGTAGGTTTTGGGATGTCTGATGGGCTACTATAATTCCACTGCTACTAGTACTACTACTAGTACTACTACTACTACTACTACTACTACTACTACTACTACTACTACTACTACTACTACTACTACTCCCCAGGTAGCACTTGCCAGCTCCGAAGTCAACAAGACCTGACTTGAAGGCTCCCAAGAAGTTAAAGCAACCCACACACAGCAAACGCCACATAGGCCGGCGGGTGCTTTGTCCCTAAACCCTAGAACCCCTTATAAAGGCCATAAGCCCTGCTTTAGTTTCAGGCGATGTCGCCCAAGTCGCACCTCAACAGCTGGGGATGCCCTGTGCTCGGTGTTGACAAAATCTGGCTCCGGGTGCTTCGCTCCATGTCCACGCGCCAAGACCAACAGGGGATTCCTTCGATATGAGGTACTTTCGCGTCAAACTATACGGGCCCCTACACCCCAAACTTATTTCATGGGCACGTGGACCCTTGTTGATTCTTTATTGGCCCAGCAGAAGAAGTCGGGGGATGCTGGCACTGGCCTTTTGTCGGTTTGGGCTTTGGCTTTGGCCTAGGGGTCTAGGGTTTATCGTTTATAGTACTTCGGGTTTTGGTCCATGGAGTTCAGGGTCTTGTTGCTAGGGCTGCCAAAGATGGGTCTTGGAGGTCAACAGCTATATGTTTCAAGTAAGGGCTGGGCCATGCGATTCAACGTCATGTAAGCCACCTCGCAGCCACCAATTCCTTGTCGCCAAGGTGTATTACTCTGTGGTCTGGCGGACTTCAGGTTTAACTCTCTGAACCACAAACCCTATCCAAACCCTCAAACCCCAAACCCTCAACCCCAATAGCCTGCAAGCCGGCTTGTCTTCGCACAGTTCTGCGGCACCCAAGGTCAGCGTCGACCCTAGGGCGATACTTGGGAACCTATCAGGTTTTAATATAGGGCTTCTCTTCTGAAAAGGGTATGAAAGAGTTCTATACGGGGTAGTACAGGGATGTTTGGAGGTCATGGAACTTAGCAACTAAGGCGGAACTAGGGTTAAACATATTTTAACCGTATGGGTCGGCCTTGGACCGTCTAGTTCCTAAGTCCCATGATCCTTTAAGTAGACCCTGGACTCCGAAGCCTGCAAGCTACTACGGTTGATGATACAAATCCTGCACTGCCCATATCAAAGAGTATACCATAATTCCCATAGTTTAGGACCCTTTGAGTAGAGCCCTTGCCTCCGAAGCCTCCCAGCTACGACCCTTTCTCATCTAAACCCTATACGGTTGATGATATAAATCCTGCAGTACCTTAAGGACCCTAAATCGTGTGAAGCCGAAAGCAGAGTAGCCATAAATCTACACGCTTCAAGCCCTACCTGGGACCCTTAAGAGCCTCCCTCTTTTAGGGTTCTATGCTTTGCGCCTGACCTGGGAGCCTCAAGAACCGCCCTTTTTAAAGGGCTTCTTACTATGATTTCCTTGTATCCGTCCTTAAGAACGTAGGTTGTTCGAGTTTAAAGTAAGCCCCAGGTCTCCTTTAAGAGATCCCCGGGAGGCTTCCTTTGAAAGGGATGCTTTCAGACTTAAGGATTCCTTTACAGGGATCTGTAAAAAAAACCTTATGACTTAAGGGTTCCTGCAAAAGGGTTTTTACAGACACCCTTTAAGGTTCATGGGTCTTCCCGAGGCCGACGGAAGCTGAGCCACAATGGTTTCATGTGGCATCCATCCAGTTTGCGCTGTGTTTTGGCTTGCATGTACAGCTCTGAGATTTTGGATTTCGGGTAGTTAATGTGAGTTTACGGTGTTCTTAAGCTTTTACTTTGAGGTCTTACAGGTCTGAAGCTTTGGCGGCATCAGGGCCCAACAACTCCACACTAGCAAAACATACCGTTTGCGAGCCTTTTTTTCCGCTCGCGACAGTGGCTGATAAGTCTCGAAACCCTAGACCCCAACTTGATTTCGAAGTTTCGGGATCAGCTAAGGAACCCATAGGCCCCAGGCTGCCGACTACCAGTTTAGGGTTCCCATGCTGCACCACTCCATCAGTTGCCTCGTGTTCCGAGTGGGGACCCTGTCAAGCCCTGAAGCTGTTCTGGATTCTAAAGGGAACTCCAGAAAGTTGGAATATGGATTAATGGTAGGATCCCCTATAATTTACCTTTAAAGGGGTGACGATAATGATATTCCAACTTTCTGGCTTCTACTGTAGTGCCATGATGATATGTGGGTGGTTGTCAAGATTACTGTCCCTTTGTGGGTACCCTAAATATTAGGTGCCGTATTATAATAAGGACCCAAAAGGGGACCCTAATTTTGACAACCACCCATATAGACAGTGACACGGGTGTCTTAGCTTTGAACCCTGGGCCCCAAACACACGTTTGTTGGAGACGCAGAGCCGCTCTCTCCGCGCATCTAGCTAGTAATGCGCTCTCCTCTCCTACAATCGATTCGCTACGCGTTGTTGTTGGGTTTGGGGTTTGGGGGAAAGGGTTGGGACACACGCTGCGCACCGTTTAATTAGTTGTTCATGTTTCATTCTTGGCGTTGCTGTGCCAGAGCTGTCTGAACTTGGATTTGAGGCACTACGCCTTTAGCTCCTGCGAGACGGCGCAGAGCTTCCTTCGACATGCCGCAGGCAGATCAAAAGAAAATGTCTTTGTGTGCTTTAAAATTCAGCCAGGCCGCAATGCCACAAGGGGCAAGCGTCAAGCCCTTGTGACGATGTAGTTAACATGCTTCTGAACCCTAACTTGAAATCAACTTCAAAATGAAGCCACATCCTAAGCACGTGAAGCACCGGGCTTAAATCCTGGAGTAGGTAGGGTCATACATCTCCTCGGTCCTCTCAGACAGGAACTTGACTAAGGGATTGTTGGGCCGTTGACCCTAAACCCTCAATCGCAGTCTAAACCCTAAGCCGTTAACCCTTAAAACAAATTGTCGACGGATGGAAAAGGCCCCTCTTCTTCGAGTTGTCTTGCACAGGTAGGGCACTGTCTATTCCCTGTCACTATCCCCTGCTACCCCGAATTTCAATATTGCACCGATGCAGGGGGTAAATCAAGGGCCTGCGCGAATGTCCAGAATCCTGCATGACCCAATGAGGATGCAACGTTGTCCAAAATCTCTCTTCTAATTATTAAGGCCCATATGTTGGCGGTCTGAGTCTCACTTTGAAGTCCAAGAGGCCGTAAGGTATCACACGAATCCCCTAGCAAGATCACTCACCCTATCAAGTCCACTAACATAAATCCAGCCAATACGTCCCTGCAAATCACGTCCTCAGAGGAATGCTAAACCCCAAACTCGAAACTCTTGCAAAATCCATCAAACCCTCGTTTTTGAGACCGAAACGAGACCTCCCTTGATTCAGAGACTTCTGATCCACGGCTTAGGGTTGAGGGTGCCGCTGGGTTCCAAGAGAGAGCTGCGCAGTAAGCTTAGATCGATGTCTGAGAGACCACTTGGAAGGGCAGGGGACTTGTAAGTAGGTTATAAGTAGAGTTATAAGTACCCTAAATGGAGTTACCCCAATTATAACCCTACTTATAACCTACTTACTAAGTCCCCTGCCCTTCCAAGCAGGGTTCCTTTCTGTCTGGGGCTTTGTGTACGGGGTCTACGAAGGGTTCCACAGGGGTTTAAGGTTTAGGTTAGAGTTCCTTCCTGGGTTTTGCTGAAGGAGGTACTATAAGAGTTTAGAGTATACTACACAGGTACATCTACAGCTATATGGACCGTCAGCGTTTAGCATTCGAAGGTCTAGGATGGAAGTGTCGTTCAATCCAGATGCCAAACCTCCGAAACCCTGGACGCTCTGGGCCCTAAACTCTCAAAGGGAACCTTCAGCACCCATGCGAATCCTAAGGGCGCATGTGCCGACATAGTTTGTACAGTGCTGTGTATCCTAGGAATATACCTCATCTCGTACTGCGGATTTCTATAGAGACAAGTTAACCCCTTTCAAGCCTTATCGGAAACCCTGATGCAAAATCATAAAACCGAACCTCCTCAGGCAGATTCCTTAGTGAAGGGTGTTAGAGTCTCCATTCCCTAGTAGTAGAGTAGGTAACCTTTAACCTTTTTGGGGTAGTATAGTCCCCATAGAATCCCTATATAACCAAAACGGTTAACCTTTAGATCCCCATCTCCAGGCAACCTGTGCTCCGGTGGCCTTCTTCTCATCACGACGGCGCCGAGCCCGAGCTTGCTTCAAGTCTTTGGATTTCGGGTTTTAAGAGTGTAGGGTTTAGGGATTTGCGGGGTTTAGGGATAGTCCTTGGATTTCGGGTTTTAAAGTGTAGGGCTGAGGGATTTTTAGTTTGGGGGTTTTGGTGTTAGCGTTTAGGGTTAAGTGTCGATCTGACTCGACGGTCTGCTTAGGCGATTTGTCTATGAAGACCACGGCCATCTGTCATGGAGATTGCGGGCCGTTAACATCTACTAAGGTTTTGGGTTGTACGTTAAGCCGGAGCTTCGATACTGCTCTGCAAAGCTGGTTTCAATGAACTGAGGCGTTCTCGCCATGCCTAGCAGGCAAATGCTTTTGCTCTGTTCCGCAGTTGTTGCGCATATCTCCTTAGACCTTCTGCATTTCCCCGTTGCCCTGGTGCATCTGAAACCTTCACATCTTGGACCCCACCAGTGTGCAACACACACATGTTGGCGGCTTCATGTACTTATACTTTAAGGCCTAAGTATCTACTCTATGGGTACGTGGAGCCTTTGGGCTTTTTCCTTGAGACCCAAAAAAACACATTCTGGCCTCAGGAGTCTAGGCTGTCCTTTGCATGAAATCGAAGCGTTTGGTGCTTAGGGGTTTAGGATGAAGCTTTGTTGGATTCACGGGTCTAGGGTTTATAAGGGTTGGGGTTTCGGGTTTCGACATCTAGGGCCGAGGAGCCTACTAAGCCCCCAAAACCCTAAGCCTCATAAACCTTCGACCTTAGGCCCCAAACCTACAAACCTACAAGCCTAGGTGGATGCCAGCCAAATGGCACGCATCGCTGCGCAGGCTCAGGCCTGCGGTGCACGCTCAAACTCAAATTGTTGAAGCTCGAAATTGAGTGGGTTTAGGCTTCAGGATCTCGGCATACAGCGTCTGCGTACTCCGAGAACTGGAACCTAGGCTTGGAACACCCAAACCTCAAGGCCCAAAGTGGTAAAGCCTATGCCCACAAGCCCTAAACGCTGAGACGAAACCACCCTGAAGCTCCAAATCCTGCAGCCCTGAACCCAAAACCTTAATTAAATGATATATAACGCCCCCGACACTCCATGACATGTAAATAAGCCCACAAACGAGGACTTGGTCTACGAATCCGAGCTCTTGCGGGTGACCTTTCCGGATGCCGACATCCGCTCCGAGCAATGGCCCTAGCTCCCGCAACCTCAAGGCGCTTCAGGGCCGAAGTATACATTAGACCAAGGCCCCAAACCCTAAACCCTACATGGACTCTCATAGCGCAAGCCCTTGTAGTACCCTGAAGAATGCCTAAAGTTAAGCAACCCTTCCTTAGGGTTTACGTGGACCCTAGGACCCTGAGGTTAAAAGCTCTGGATCCCTGCTCCTCTTGCAATCCTGGCATTGTCGCATGTTTTGCTTCCTTGTGGATCCTTACTTCATGGGCAGTATTTTGGGTTGTAAACTTTAGGTTTTAGGGATTTCAGGGTTTGAGCTTATCCGTGAACCGACGAGCCTGTTGTAAAGGAGTTTAGGGTTTAGGGCTGCGTTGAACCTCAAACACTAGTGAGCAGTAAGACCTGCGCAGGCCCGATAAGACCCTCGTAGACCCCATAGAAAGGTGCTACAAGCCCTCAGCAGGCCAGAGTACGTGCCATAAGAAAATCGAACCCCCTGCCTTTGCTTCAAGACCGTAGCAGAGTGGACAAACCCTAACCCCTAAAGCCCTAAACCCTTGAACCCCTAACACATGCTTGCTGGGCTGGTAACGAAAACCGTCGAACCTACCTCTGCAGACCTTGCCAGGCATGTCCGAGAGTGAGTGTCAAAAACACATGCCTCGCCTGGATTGCCCGAGTGTGAGCGCCGAAACCCCTAAACCAAACCCTAAATTCGCAAGAAGCCGCCGAGGATCCAGAAAGGCATCGCCAAGTTGCAGACTCAGTCCGTTTGCCTGCCTGGATGAACCCAGAGACTCCAGTATCCCTTGATTCAGGAATATATTTTTTAAATTGTACTAGGATCCCTAGTATAAGTTAAGGCCACGCCCAATAGTCAGAGAGCAACTTAAGCAGGGATACGCGTATGGCCGGGATAGGGCGTATGTTTTGGGCCGTTTTACATGATCATCAAAAATTGCACATTCGTGAGTTTAAACCCCCACCTTTGAGATCATGACAGTTGAGTGTGGTTTACTTGTCGGTGGTGTTTGTGCATATTCAAGTCTGAAGCTTCTAAGCTACACTAAAAAGCAAGCACATTAAGCAAACACCCGCTTGGACAGCGGTTTGATGTTAATGGATCTGTGTGAAAAATAGTAGTATGAATTTGTGGATTGGATAACAGGCCGAAAATAAGCACTGAATTTGACTACCGGATGTTTCCTGGGGTGTATTTCTTCAGCTGTTTTGAGAGGCCACCCGTAGTTCAACCCGATGAGACTTACCCGTTGTGCATCCCCCGTCGTTCTGCAACGGTGGACATTATCTGCGTCGCCGATGCCACGCTCTTCGCTGGACTAGGTGCCTTCCGCCCTCCAACTTGCTCTGCTCATTACATGATTGTTGCTGATGTGACGTGTGTGCACGCGAGCATGGTTGAAGCTGTTTGAGGAGCATCGGTTCTTCGATTGCCACATGTTGGACCAGACCCAGAACCTAGTTCTAGAGCCTGAGCACAGCTTCTATTACCCTCAGTCACAGCAACACTGCAGACGACTTGCAGGGGCACTGTCACTCGGACAGACGTCTTTCATTCACACAGCATATATACTGGACCTTAACACGTATAGCATGCGCATCAAGATGTCATTCAGAACATGTAGCGTCCCTGTCGAGGTCCTAGGGAAGTGTATACACTACTTAGTTCCCCACGGTCTCTTACACGTTATCCTCGCCGTTCCTTAGTACATTTTTCGCAGCCATGGCTTTTTCCGATGCGAGGCCAACTCCCTTCGCTCCCAATTCGACTTTGCAGCCTTGCCCGACGGGCAACATGGGGAGCTACTCGGGGGACGTTCGCGTCTCGACGGAAGCGAGGTTTTGCCTGTCGGCTCCGACAAGCAGTGCCCGAAGCCGTACTCCTGTTTCTTGTCTGATATATCAGATAGTACAGTGACACGATGTGTGCAGTTCTGACTGCACGATGTGTGTTTCTACGCAGGCCCGGCCAGCACGAATTCTCACACGTTGGGCAGCAATGGCGTCGTCGGCCAGGCGCCTCACAAAAATATCGACGAGAAGACATACATGTGTTGGGACATCGACTTTCGAGGGCTGGGCCTGACGGACATGGAGAAAAACACCACTTGCCCACGAGGTACCACAATTGCAATCCAGTGTCGTTGCACCGATGCAGCGCGGAGTAGATAAGTGGCCTGTGACGTAACTCATGTTATTGATTGTTGCTACAGGTTCCCGGACGGTCAGCTACAAGGTTCTCCAGCCCTTGTCAATCAAAATCATTATCCAATGCGGAACACGCTGCTCCTTGTCCTCGCCGTTCTGTCGTTTGTATCGGAGTTCAATTTCGACAACATGCGGCTGATCATTATAACCTCTACGTACTGCAGCTGTGTTGCATATGCTCCATTCGCCCTGACTGACTCGTGGTTCATCTTTAAAAATCTGCTGAGCCAAGCGGGGCAAACGCAGCGCCGCCGGACTGTCCGCCCTCGCGACGGGGAACGCCATCTTTCTCCCGACATTCAACCGCCCCAATATGTGGGACACGAAGTGGTACCATTGTTTTGTCGCCGCCGGACCTCGGCCGGTCGGATAAATTGCCGGAGTACATCGAGATGGCGAAGTACGCCTTCAAGGGCTGGTGTAGCAGGGAACTCCCGTGGCATGTGGTGACCGTCCAGTCCGGCTTGCTGGAGGCGGACAAGCAGGAGTGCGACAGGGCGCATGAGGCGGACATGAAGGCGCCGGACCCAGATGACAACCAGGCCGACACCGACTCGGAGACGGTGAGGGAGGAGATGGCGAACGTTGGACTTTGGGCCGAGGTTGAGTCGGACGAAGGACAGCAGCAGGACCAAATGCAGGACGACGAGGAGTTTGAAGATGCGGAGACGAGGATCACCTTGCGCCGGTCGATGCAGCATTCCCGGAGCACTTCGAGCAGGAAGACACGCCGGACACTGCGCGACCGGTTGATTCGCTAGAACTGCCTGGGATCGTCGACGATGGTTTCGTCGTCATTGCGGAGGAGGACTACGCGGCCGTGGACATAGTGCTTCCATTCCAAGCAGGTTCCCTGGACGTGAAGGAGGTGACACAGCGATGGACCCACAGGATGATTCTTAAAATTGCACAAGCCGGACACTGAGCGAGAATCGCAAAGAATCCAGCCCCAAGATGCAGCGCTGCCTGATGGAGGCTTTGTCAGGTGCGAAGACTCGTCGGACAACACCCATTCCTTCTGGACACGCTCAATGTCAAGCACACTATGAAGCTGAGGAGGCATTCGGGCTTAAGGTTTAGCTTTGAGGTTTGGGCTTTAGGGGTTTAAGGTTTGAGTTCAGTAACTAATCAACGTTCCCGTGCTGTTGAAGGGGTGCCGCCGGGTGTCGTCGATCGTCCATGGGCTTCCGAGAGGAAATGGCGAGTTCATGTCATTCTACACGCAGGGCACTCATCTGCACGATGCATGGACACGTATGCATCCTGGAGGAGACCCCCACGGAGGACGAGCAAAAGATCAAGCACGCTTCTATGGACGCACACAGGCTAGCACGCATGGAGCGATACGCCTATGTCACGCAGGGCAAGTCAGATTTCCAGTCGACGGACATTTTTTGTGCGTGGTGGCAGATGCAGTGCACGTGGGAAGTGACGATTGGCTGAACATCATGGTGTACAACCACACGACGGACAAAGTTTGGGTGTGCCCGCCGCAGGCGGGCCTTTTTTTTGGCAAGCAACAGCAAATTTCTGAGGCGTTTTAGGCAAGAGGCGAGGTACGTCAGAGCCTTGCTTAAGTTGACCGTTTTGGGTGCCATTTTCGTAGCTTTTGGGTCCGACCAAAATCGTTTTTCCGACGCGAGGTACGCGTATCCCCGCTCAGGCTCGGTTTGGGGCGGAGTCCTTGTATTGTATTTTATATACAGATAGGTACGCGTATCCCCGCTCACCCCTGGGTTTCGGGATTGGCCTGATAAAGGCTCCCAGGCGCCCTTCTACTGTTGAGTAGGTACGCACAGCCTTGCTTAAGTTGGCCGGGGCCGGGGCCCGCAGCGAAGAGCGCATTTTGGGCGCATTTGGGCCCCCCAAAAAGGTACGCCAGCCCCGCTTAAGTTGGCCGGGCGGTCCCCTCAAAATGGGTCCCTGGGTAGTTATATGCAAGCATCATTTGTTTAGCACGCTGTTCCTAAACCCTAAACCCCTAAGCCGTAAGCAGTAGTTTTTAAAACCTCAACCTTCTGATGGTCTCACGAATGAGACAGCGACTGTCATTGCAGAAGCTACAAATCTTGGAGGAGACCCCCACTGACTCCACTCGGATCGGTCGGCAGGGCTTTGTTGCCAAGGTTTTTGGTTCTGTGATCCGTTCTCGTGTTTGGCATGAATATTGAAATTCGATGGACGTCGCAGGTCAGGGTATTGTAATACGTATACCTGTATTGACCCTGGTCTGACGTATTAAAATAGTTAAGATATTCAGAAGATAGTTGCGTTTGGTCATGCCTGACAGCGCGTACTCTGAGACTGCATCGACGATAGTTCGTGCACATAAGCAAGTAAATTTTGACGAGGCTTTGATACTTGCATTTTCCTTGAAAGGTTTGTCGTGCTACTTTGTTCTGTCTGAGCTATGTGTCGTCCAGGCGCATGGCCCATTTGTGCTAGTCACTGCTTGATTTCCTGGCAGTGAGCTTACAATAATAAGTTCTCGAAGATATTAGTGGTGTCCCTCTGTAGTCGCTTTTAGTGGTTGCGAGCTGGGATAAGTATGTGCCGTCAATTTTGGTGGGTCAGTATAGAAGCTAGTCCCATAGCCGGTCTTCTTGCCTTATAGTTCTAGTCGCCGCATTCTCACAGTTCTGCGTTGGTTGGCTCACTTATTTTGCGAGTGGTTTCGGATTGCTCTGCAGTTGCTGCAGTGACTACCTTCTGAACATGATTTTATTGGCGAGTGAAATCAATGGATGTATATGTGTTGCTTCTATTGTTCTGATGTTTTAGGGCCTTGCCAGGCCCTGTGGTCTGCAGGTTGTTTTGGTTACACAGGTGTGACATGGCTGTGTGGCCCTGCCTGAAACACCCTTGAAATGTGCTCGCTCTGTGCTTACGCTGCACTTGCTGTGCGCTTGCTCTGCGTCTCTGCAAAACTGGTGCAGATCCTCCTGATATGCATGAGTTGGGCGGTTCATTGCACTGCATCTGCAATTCGCCCTTCGCTTGTGTGGCTTGTTTCTTGTAGTGGGCTTCAATTGCGCTAGAAACGCACTTGATCCGCGTTCGGTCTGTGGTTTCTCTTAACTCATGCATGCAATCATCCTTACCGCACAATCTGCCTGAACATTGAAATGTGCATCAATTGCTTTCAAAGGCACTTGTGAGCAAGTGCAGCGCGCATGAAATGCGCCTCAAAGACAGCTGAGGTGCACTTGAGACGCACTTGAAACCCGCTTGATCTGTGATTGCTCTTTGGTTTCGCTGAAGCCCCTGCAATCCTCATTATCATTGAAATGCGCTTGAAAAGCGCTTGAAACGCGCTTGATCTGTATTTGCTTTTGGCTCCGGTTTAAACGATGGGAACCCTCCTTACCATTGAAATGCGCTTGAAATGCGCTTGATCTGTGATTGCTCTTTGGTTTCGTTGAAGCCCCTGCAATCCTCATTATCATTGAAATGCGCTTGAAACGCGCTTGATCTGTGTTTGGTTTTGGCTCCGTTTTAAACGATGGGAACCCTCCTTACCATTGAAATGCCCTTGAAATGCGCTTGAAACGCGCTTGATCTGTGATTGCTCTTTTGTTTCTTTGAAGCCCCTGTAATCCTCATTATCATTGAAATGCGCTTGAAACGCGCTTGGAACGCGCTTGATCTGTGTTTGGCTTTGGCTTCGTTCGTTACTATGGAATCCTGGTTACCATGGCAATGTGCTTGAGACGAGCTTGATCTGTGATTGCTCTTTGGTTTCTTTGAAGCCCCTGCAATCCTCATTATCATTGAAATGCGCTTGAAACGCGCTTGATCTGTATTTGCTTTTGGCTCCGTGTTAAAGGATGGGAACCCTCCTTACCATTGAAATGCGCTTGAAACGCGCTTGATCTGTGATTGCTCTTTGGTTTCGTTGAAGCCCCTGCAATCCTCATTATCATTGAAATGCGCTTGAAAAGCGCTTGAAACGCGCTTGATCTGTATTTGCTTTTGGCTCCGGTTTAAACGATGGGAACCCTCCTTACCATTGAATTGCGCTTGAAATGCGGTTGAAACGCGCTTGATCTGTGCAGCTCTTTGGTTTCGTTGAAGCCCCTGCAATCCTCATTATCATTGAAATGCGCTTGGAACGCTCTTGATCTGTATTTGGTTGGCTTCGTTTTAACCTAGTTGGAATCCTCCTTACCATTGAACTGTGCTTGAAACACGCTGGAAACTCGCTTCATCTGTGATTGCTCTTTGGTGTCTTTGGAAGCTCTTGTAATCATCATTACCATTGAAATGCGCTTGAATCGCCCCTGAAACGCGCTTCATTCTGTGGTCTCCCCACAACCCCTCTTATGAGCAGACCCCTTCTTAGAGAAGCACACACATCGCGCACATATGTGCGCATGAGAGACGTCTGGTTCGGTTTAACCGCGCCAAACCTACGGACATAGGTCAGTTTAACCCAAAATGTTACAAGCCAAGCCCTCAACTTCAAGCCCTTTATGCACCATGGAAGCAAAGATCTTGCATTGGCCAGCACTGCAACACAATCCAAGTTCGCATGGAACAGCTTGGAAAAACTGAGCCTCCAAAACATGACACATGACTTGGACTTGAGGGGTTGTGAAACAGAAACGTTTGATCCGTGGTTCCTAATTTCGATGTTAATTTCGCGACGGATGTTGAAAAACAGACAGCTCCGCAATCTTCACACATGACCTCTGCCAAAATCAGACCCGGCCCGAGCCCCTAGGTACGCGTATCCCCGCTGGTAGGGTATCCCCGCTTAAGTTGCTCCCCAAAATAGAGGGCCTGAGGGGTGTGTGGGATTTTGGGGTCGGGGCGTGCAGGCTTCAGGCTCAGAGGGTCCAACAGTTTTCGGGTCCAGATTTCTGGGGTTTAGGGGTTTGGAGGTCTAGGGGTCTAGGGTTTAGGGTTTCCCTAAACCTAAACCTTAAACCGGGGTTCAGGGGTTTAGGGGTTTGGGGTTTTCGCGCGTGGACTCGGACTCGCGGCGACTCGAGACTTCCGTTTACTGTCGGGTTCTTCGTAGGGAATGGGGGAATGGACTATGGAGACTTTTGTTGGGGATTAGTTAGGGGCTACGATGGATCCATTCCCTTATTCCCAATGAGCAACAGACAGTTTAGGCTTTAGGGTATTCGGGGGGTGTTGATGTTGAGGCTCTGGGAAGTCAAAGCAGTTGTACTACTACTAGTAGGCCCCTTGATTGTAGTCCCTGATAGGTCCTAGTAGGAAGCACTCCCAAACCCCGCCCATGCCCATGACAAATTTGTCTAGGAAAGACTCCGAAACCCTCTTCGAACCACAGCCTTAATACAATAATGAACTAGAATAGGGTTTGGAGGCATCTTATGCTGTGATCATAACAAGGAACCACTACAAGTATTGGTAATTCTTTAGACCCCTGTAGTAGACCCTTTTGGTAAACCTAGACCCTTCTCTTCGGGGCTCGAGGGCTTCAGGCTGCTCAGGGCACTCTCAGGGCGATCTTGGTTTCGGTTCCAGCTGCGGTTGAGGTTTTAGGGGTTAAGGGGCTGCTGGACAACGAGGCCTGCTGCAAAAGGGGGTTAAGGGGCTTATCGGCTTAAAGCAGGAGTTTAGCTTGGATGCAGGGGTCTAGCGGTTCAGGGCTTTGGGTTTAGGGTTTTGGGGGTTGGGAGAGAGGCCTCGTTTAAATAATGCTTTGGGATTCAGGGCTTAGGGGTCTAAGGGTTTCGGAGTGTAGGGGTTAAGGGGTTGATGGTTTGGGAGCCCCAGAGGGGGCTCCAGATGGCCCAAAGTATGGTTTAGGGTTAAGGTCTCATGTAGTGAGTTTAGACCCCAAACCAAAAACCCTAAACCCCCCTAATCACCTAAACTCTATGGTTTGAGGGGTTCCCCTGTTCGAGCCTGGTTTCTGCGAAGCTAGGTATGGCCTTCGCTACCGCTTTGACTTGGCAGGACGGATTTGTTCTTGCCACGGGTATTTTTTAGTTTCATATAGAGGCCGGAATATCGTATCCCATGTATCCTCGTAACAGTCCCTAATCGTACAATTCAGTTCAAGATCGCACCTATATACCCCCAACATCCCAAAGCCCTCCCATAGCTCTTAAGGAGTCTTTCTTGCAGTTTGAGAGTTTGTGGCTTTCCTAGCCTTCCTAAATGGGCTCCCCAAGAAGTCCTGTGGGAGTTCAGGGAGTCTCTGGAGACTTCTTCAGGAACTCCTTGAGGGTTAAGGGTGATGGGGGAGTGGCAGTGTCTTTGGCGTTGAAGGATCTCGTCCAATTGGGTTCTAGTCTAGTTCAGTATTTCGAGCTCGGTAGGCTGCTGCGCTTCTTCGGAGTATGTCGGTGCTTTAGATCAGCATGCTTTCTTGTTGAAAAGGCCCGAGATTCCAGCTTCACAGTTCAAGGGTACAGCAGGTTTATCACCCGACACTTTGTCGTCGCATTGCTGCCAAACAGCAAGGCATTGTGCTGGTCGTTTGCATCAAAGTGCACAAAGCCTGCACTGGCACGGACTTGTTGCTTGCCATGCTAGGTAGAGTCCAGCCGGATTGTGCACGCAAGAGGCAGTTCATGTGGGGTTTGGGGGCACGCTTGAGTCGAATCTGCATGTACATGTAACGATTAATTGGCCACGAAGGTCAGGACGACGTTTGCACGAGTTGCCAGGCTTTGGGATTTGCTTTTCGACAGGACCGAAACTTTCAATCCTAAGTCCTAAACCCTGAACCCTAAACCCAAACACCAAATCCTAGTTGAGCCAAGCTGCAAGCTTCATACCGCATGCTCCCGAAATCAAGTTGGCCCGGAGGCGAAGGCATCGACTGCGAGGAGTTCGTGGTGCCAGAGGAGCCCTAATCGTACCCGAAGCCTTAAACTCGGTTTCGGGTTTAAGGATTTAGGGGTTTAGGGTTTAGAACCTTAAACTCCGAAACCCACCCTTTGCCTTAAACCCTACAGTAGACCTTTTGAACCTTAATCCCTGAACCTCCAACCCCAATCTGGAGCGTTTCAGTCACTGTTGAACCCAGTCGTTGTGAAGCTTTGCCTGCACGTGCGAGTGCAAGAGTCGAGGCCCGTTCGAGCTAAATTCTCAAGGCTGCAAACCCTACCTTAATACCGCATAACTTACTTACCTCAAGGCCCGGAAGCCTAAAATCACAAAGCCGAGTTGCAATGCCGTAAGGATCTCGTCGTCTAAGCTCTTACTTTCAACAGCACAGCCCCGCAGACCCTACTTGGAGGTTCATGGGACTTAGTAACTAAGTACTTATAACCCTACTTGAGGTACTGGTAACCCTACTTACTACGTCCAATGGTCCTCCAAGTAGACCCCGTTTCAGGAGTTGCTCACCGACTTGCTCAACCAGATTGACATCGAAATCATTGCAGCATGCCCAGCCAGAGGTTGCAGTCTCGCGACGCAGAGTAGTAAATATAGGGGCCTCAAGAATTACCTATAATATACTATTTGGGGGGTTCCTCATTATAATTGAACAGAAGGGCAAGTATACACCCAAAACCCTGTTCTAAGTATGAAGGCCCCTATGTTACGATGAGGAGTTGGCATCTGCAGGCTCACCATCGCCGTAGCCGCAGTCAGCATCGTTCGTCTTCGTCATTTGCAAGCAGTCCAATTTAGGATTTAAGGTTTAGGGTTTGAGTTTAGGGTTTAAGGCAAGCGTCGGAATGACTGTCATTATAACTATCTGCCATAGTCATCATGATTCATAACGGTCATCCTGATATCCATTGTCGCTGTACCAGTCTGTTCGTTCTCATGAAGATCGCGCTCCTCGTACTCTTCGTCGTAGTTCTCACAGAGCAGACCACCAGATCCCCACCACAAAGTAGAAACCCAGATCTCCGGACGATCCCTAAGTGCAGCCGAAAGGAGTTGCATCAGATTCCGAGAGGTTGAGGGTCCCGGGTGTCTGGGGTGATCACATGTCCATGAAGCCCTTCATCAACATAATATTATCCGACCACCGCAGTGCAAACTGCACCTAAACCCTACTTGGAGGTTCATGGGACTTAGTAAGTACAGTTATAAGTACCTTCACTGAGGTTATATAAGTAATTGTAAGTATAGATACTTTATTTATAACCCTACTTAGTAAGTCCCATGAACCTCCAAGTAACCCCTAAATTAATCTTATAGTAGCCCTAAAGCCGAAACCCTTGTTATGATAACCGGCCATCGCACTCCAAACTTGTCGATCCATGAAATCCGGCTTTGGATCAGCCTTGCCGTGTCCTAGCCTTAGAGGCTTCTACTTGAAGGCCCAGAGGGTCCACATATTCTGGGGTTTAGGGTTTAGGGACCAGGGTATACCCTTTCAAGTCCGTGCTGAAAAAAAGGGAATAGGGTTTAAAGGGGGTCCGCATAATAGAGTGGCCTAAATAATTACCAAAACTATTTTGGGGGTTCCTTATCAGAATGGGCCCCAAGACCCTATTCTAATTGTTAAGGCCCCCTTCCCTAAGATTCCAAGTACCCAAATAGTGAGGTTTCAAGGTCCAAAAACCATTCAGAGTATGGATTTTGGGGACCTAAAACCCTACTATTTGGGTACTTGGACCCTCTGGGTGTATTATGCTACCATTATGGAATCAGGCCCTAAGAGACGATGGATTACCTTCGCACCCACTCGCACAAACCCCAAGACCCAAACCCTAGACACGAAGCCTTAAGCCTTATAGGGAACTCCAGAAAGTTGGAATATGGATTAATGGTAGGATCCCCTATAATTTGCCTTAAAGGGGTTACGATAATGATATTCCAACTTTCTGGCTTCTACTGTAAGCCCCGAGCCTTACGCGTACCATGCAGGCAGGCATCCCCTTCTCTGAACTCAGCGACCCGAAGGTGTTTGGGAGTCGTCTTTTCAATGCTGTTTCATAGCTCGTGTTTGCAGGGCTTCGGGGCTTCCTTTAAGCTTTCTCAGTTTAGTGGTTTAGGGTTTAGGTTGGGATTTGGGATGTATCGGCATATTGCGCTTTAGGGTTCAGAGGCCTTTAAGAGAGTTTACGGTTGTTTCAGGGTCTTACTGTTTGGGTCCTGGTTGAGGCTAGATAAGCAAATTTCCGGTTCACAGGCTTGCTTGAAGCTTAACAAACCCTAAACCCCTAAACCCTGTTCACTTTTCACACCGACTCCGCACCTAAGAACCTCGCCTGGCTGTGTCCGAGTTGTGAGAGCGTAACCCTAAACCCCTGAACCCGAGCCGACAGAGTTAATTGGGTTGCAGGGCCGGGCCCTATAGTTTAGGATTTATTATTATTGTTATTATTATTATTATTCTTCTTCTTTTTATGATTATTATTATTCTTTTTATTATTATTATTCTTTTTATTATTATTATTGTTATTATTGTTATTATTATTGTTATTATTTTTATTATTATCATTATTATTATCATTATTATTATTATTATCGTCATTATTATCGTTATTATTATCGTTATTATTATCGTTATTATTATCGTTATTATTGTCGTTATTATTATTATTATTATTATTATTATTATTATTATTATTATTATTATTGTTATTATTATTATTGTTATTATTATTATTGTTATTATTATTATTATTATTGTTGTTATTATTATTATTATTATTATTATTCTTATTATTATTATTATTTGTATGTTCATTTTTTGGTATTTTTTGATTATTATTGTTATATATATATATTATTATTGTTGTTGTTGTTACTGTCATTATTTTTACTATTAATATTATTAACTATTGTTATTATACTATTCTTATTGTTATCATGACATTATCGTTATTATAATTAGCGTTATGATTATTATGGCACACAGGTGCAGCGCATAACTCCGAATCGGAGCCCAGTAGTTTGTCTTCGCCTCGCATCTGCCAACTCTGAATCGCCAGCAGGTGCAACTGCACCCCTACAGTGGGTGTGGCAGTGGTCTAAGGGTTTAGGAGGTTGAGGGTTTAGGGGTTTAGGGGCCGTAGAGTCGTAGGGTTTAGGAGTTTAGGGCTTACTTGGAGGTTCATGGGACTTAGCAAGTACAGTTGCAAGTACCCTAATTGGGATTATAAGTACAGATAAGTGTAGCTACTTTAATTATAACCCTAGTTATTAAGTCCCATGAAGCTCTAAGTATAGTAGGTGTGGCAGTGAGTCGTTAGGCTCTTAGTTACACAGCACAGGTGTCAACTGTACATGCGTATGCCTGTCTTTCTGCATTGTGTGTACATATACAAGTATCTGTCGGTATGTATGATTGCATACGTGGCTGTATGTGTGTATGCATGTATGTATCTGTACTTGCACGCAGACACAGGTACATAGACTACTTCCGACCATTATCGAGCCCGCAGCTTTTCAAGTAACACCCGTTGCTACATGTACACGTGATGCTGGGTGCATGTTCTCTCGTTAGACGTAAATTGGCCGCCTTTTGAAGTATTCAAAACCCCGTACAACCTAGATCTAACTCCTTGAGGCCTTAAATAGGTCCTTATAGAAGCCCTAAACCTTAAATCGCAGTCCTGAACGGGACAGGGCGGCAACACTTCCAGAGAGGTGGCGAAGTGGATCCTCGAAAGGCTGCATAGTGCCAGGGGAGAAGGCAGCCCTAAACCCTACTTCAACCCTACTACAGGGTTTTCAGGTTTAGGACTTGCGATCGTGTTGAGGGACTTTCAGCCCTATGTCTCTACACCCGTCAGGTTGGAGTTTAGGATTCTGCAAGTCAAATTTCGGATGTTCTCCGGGTCACTTCGCCCTATGCCTCGTTGCATCTTCTCCTCGATTGGGCGGTTCCCGCAAGATGCTGAATGCAAAGGTTGCTTCGCCTCCATCAGGATTACAGGTTCCAGCGGTACGGTTTGCGCTTGAGACGCTTTCGGAGGAAAGGGTCCGACTTGGGCGGCTCCACAGACTGAAACCCAAAGACTCCAATATCCCTTAATTAGGGAATATTCCTTAAATCACATTAGGGATCCTACTATAATCTAAGGCATATTCCGGTATCTTCCTTTATTAAGGGATATTGGAGTCTCTGGGAAACCCACATTCCTGGTCAGATTGCACATGTCACGCTGCTGATGCTAGTTTCAGGCTCTACTAAAATTTGGGCCAGGCACTTCAATGAATCCGAAATACAAAAGCCAATACCATGAATGTAAAAGCACACCGAGTCTGGTTCCATCCTACACCGTACAAGTAAGGACCCATCTCCTGATACAAGCCGTAAACTCGTAAACCATAAACTCTAAAGCTTATGTAACTCCCTTCTGGCGACACTTAACAGTTCAGAATCCTTGACATAGGAACCATCACATAGGCGAAGCCTTGCACGGAACACTTACATAGGAACTCCATGGAACTCCTATAATATAGGAACCCTTAGAGAAACCTGTATAAGAAACCTTGTAGGACCGTTGTGGAACCCGTCCAGAACCCATACCCTTAGGCTCTAAGGACTCATATTTTAAGGCTCTTGGGGCCAAAGACCACGCTATATAAGGCTTCTAGGCTAATTTGAGCCTTAGGGTTATAGAACCCATACAGAAAGTTTTGTAGCACCCTAAAACGGGTCCAACACCCTTTCGGCGGGGGTTCGAAAGCTCGAAGCCTGGAGCACGGAAGGCTCGGCGGAAGTGTGGAGGCAGGATGCCCGGTTTAGGGTTCGAGCTTAAGGGTTTGGGTTTGGGGTTTTAGGGTTTCGGGCGTTTCGAATGTTTAGGCTGTAGGCTGTCAGGCCTTTGCTTTAGGGGTTTGGTGGAAAGCCTGGCGCAACAGGGTCCGAAGAAGAGTGGCTTAACAGAGGCTTTCATACGTAGAATGGGGTGTCGCGGCATAACATAGTACAGTCATAACCAGAAGCCTTAGGCAATTGCATTGTAGTCATTGTAGTACTACGAACCAACTAACTACCCAGGTTTCTACATGTCCAGGTGGGAATCATACAAGTAACGCCTTGTTGAGTTGCTAGGGCTTTAGATTTCAGATTGAGGTTGTGGGGTTTGGGGTTTATGGTTCAGGGTTTTGACTCCTGTGTTGCAGCATGTTTTGTTTTCATTGGTTAGCGCGCATCCCCTGTTACGCCTGTGTTTGGGACCCCGAAGGCGACAGCTGCTAAAGTACGGTCCAGGGCAGGGTACCCATGATCGTAGCCTCCCTGCAGGCTTAATACCCCGAAACCAAGACTGTAGGAACCTGATAAAGAAACCCTACGCCTATAACTACCCCAAGATAGTCGGATTCAGACAAGGACCCCATAATAAAGGCCCAAGATTTCTTAATCAGGTTCCTACATTACCCTAAATCCTAAACCCCGTGGGGCTCGAGTCCTACACAGATACTCGGGGAGCCTTTCCTACTCTAAGATAGGCAAGACAATTTGTGAATAGACGCGTCCTTAGACCCTAAAGCCGTGAGCCCCGAAACCCTTGACATGCGACTGCCCGGAAACCCTAAACCCTGAACCCGACATTAAAGCTCTAACTTAACCCTTAAAAACCCTTCAACCCCAGACCCTATATTACCCTTATACTCAGAGACTCCAATACCCCTTAGTTCCGCAATATGCCTTAAATCTTTCCAGGGATCCTACTACAGTTTGAGGTATATTCATTAAGGGGATATTGGGTGGGATACCTGCAAGGAACCTTTTTGGGAAATTTTAGCTTTAAAACCTGAAAAACCTATGGGCCTTAGCTCTTTTTGGGTACCCTAAATATTAGGTGCCGTACTATAATAAGGACCCAAAAAGGGACCCTAATTTGGACAATTACCCATGCAGCAAGAAGTCCCACACTTTGGTTTAGAAGAGGCAGGGTTTAAGGCTTCTGGTGTTTAGGGGTTTAGGCTTAAAAAACAATTGGGTTTAAGGTTTAGGGTTTAGGGTTAGGGCTTTTGGTGTTCAGGGTTTAGGGATTATGCGGCTTCTGGGTTTTATTGTTTTTTAGCATAAAGCTTTGGCGTCTTAGGGTTTAGGTTTCGGACTGTGAGGTACGAGAACTCCAGGACTCGCATCCATCAAGCTTCCGAGTTAGACCACCCCGGGAGACAGCGTTGACAAGCGATCCCTAAACCCAACTCCCTTGGGTTTCGGGTTTAGGGTTTAGGGTTTAGGGTTTAGGGTTTAGGGTTTAGGGTTTAGTCTGGGCTTTGGAGTACCATGCTTTAATACTTTTTTCTTGGAAGAACCGTTATGAAATGAAAGGTGACACCTTTGTCTCCCTGGTTACTTACAAGCCCAGTTATCTACCAAGTGCGGAGATTCAACATTTGGCAGGACATCGCAGATGTTTTCGGAGTCTACGACAATCTCGGACTCAAACTAACTGTGTGTCGATCTCAGGCCGTCTTTCAGATATGCTAACGCAATTGACCGGGCTGTTAGTTTTCAGAGGGCATTTGGTTTAAGGTTCAGGGCTAGTTTGGTGAGTGAGTCATGCTTCTGTTCCATATCGAGGTGGCGCGGTGTTCCTCAAACTGCCGCGTGACTATCCAGTAACCCTACCTAAACACTAAAGCCTATTGATAAACCTTAAACCCTGAACCATATGCCTCGCCTGGATTGTCCGAGTGTGAGTGTTGAGTTTGATAGATGATTTCTAGGACATTCGTAGGGGACCTACTCGGGTTTGGGGGGCAAGCACTTTAGGCTGTAGGGCTTCACCATTTAGGGTGTTGGGCCTTAGAGCCCAGGGTGTAAGGGGGTTCAATCGTCAGCTTTTTTGAGTAGGGGGCTTTATGGCTTGAGGTTTGGAGTTTAGGGTTGAGGGTTTTCGGTCACGGGTGTATATGTGTTCGAGCAGGAGTAGGATTTGGGACTACAGGGCTGAGCCACATGTTGCAAGTGCTCATGGTGATTCAATTGCTCAGGAGCTGCAGCTTTAGATCCCTAACCCTAAGCCGTAGATACGGCTGATGATATAAATCTTGCATTACCTTAAGGACCCTAAACTATGGGAATTATGGGATATTCCTTATTTTGGGTAGTGCAGGATTTCTATCATCAACCGTATCTTGTTCCAGTTGGACGAGACACGTGCCAAAAAGGAGGCAGACCGGATGTGTTGCAGCAGATGTGAATCCTGACTCCTGACTTCTCCTGCTGAAGTAGCAGAACATGCATACGTTAAGCACCCAAGTCTATAACCGGGCTTTCAACATGTCGGTTGTTGTGGATATCGGAGTCCTCAGCGGCAAGACGGCGACGTTGGAAGTCGATGTGGAAGAGACGGTGGAAACGTTGACTCGTCGGGCACATGCTGCACTTGGGGTCGGAACAGGGCGGCTGGTCGATACATCTGGAAGTTTTCTGGACATGCGTCGGAGAATGAAGGATGCCAATATTCAACATGGCGATTTGCTGACCCTGCATGTAAGTCGAGTTCAAGCCTGTGCCACTATGGATGCTTTCGCGGCCATAATTGGTGATGGATCTGTCGAGACCTGGGGTGGTGATACATATGGCGGTGACAGTAGTGCAGTTCAGGCTCGGTTGAAAAATGTTCAGCAGATTCAAGCCAATCACCGCGCTTTTGCTGCAGTTCTCGCCGATGGAACGGTCGTGACGTGGGGTGATAAGTTCTGTGGTGGCGACCCCAGATCTGCACAGGGTCAGCTGAAAGATGTGCAGCAGATCCAAGCCGCTGACCACGCTTTTGCTGCGCTTCTTGGCGATGGATGCGTCGTGACCTGGGGTCAAGCTGAATGGGGCGGTGACAGCAGTGCCGTACAGGCTCAGCTGAAGACTGTGCGGGAGATCCAAGCTAATGCAATGGCTTTTGCTGCCATTCGTGGTGACGGATCCGTCGTGACGTGGGGTGCTGCTGATCGTGGTGGTGACAGTAGTGCTGTGCAGGATCAGCTGAAGAATGTGCAGCACATCCAAGCGTCTCGGTGTTCCTTCGCGGCCGTACTTTGCGACGGATCCGTCGTGACGTGGGGTTCTGCTCGGGATGGTGGTGACAGCTCTACTGCGCAGGTCCAGCTGGAGAACGTGCAGCAACTCCAAGCCACTTCGCAGGCTTTTGCTGCCATTCTTGGCGATGGGTCCGTCGTGACCTGGGGTAATGGGGACCGTGGGGGCGACAGTAGAGCTGTGAAACATGCTCTGCAGACTGTGCAGCAGATCCAAGCCTCCACTGAGGCATTTGCTGCCATCCTTGGCGATGGATCTGTCGTGACCTGGGGCAATCCTCGCTATGGTGGTGACAGTTGTGCGGTGCAACATCAGCTGAAGAATGTGCAACGAATTCAAGCCTCTTCCGGCGCTTTCGCAGCGATTCTTTCCGATGGCTCTGCCGTGACCTGGGGAAGTACTGATCGTGGTGGTGACTGTAGTGCTGCGCAGGATCAGCTGAAGAGTGTGCAGCAGATACAAGCCGCTTACACCGCTTTTGCTGCGCTTCTTGGCGATGGATGTGTCGTGACCTGGGGTCAAGCTGAATGGGGCGGTGACAGCCGTGCCGTGCAGCATCAGCTGAAGAATGTGCAACAGATCCAGGCCAGTGACTACGCTTTTGCCGCCATTCTTGCCGATGGCTCTGTCGTCACTTGGGGTGATAGCACCTGAATGTGCCACGTATCCAAGACAGTGTCCACGATTTGTTCGCAGTTCTTGTCGATGCATTGTTGGTGAGCTGGGGTCATCCTGACCATGATGCTGTGCAGGAATTCTGAAGACTGTGCAGCAGAATCAAGACTGTGACGACGCTGTTGCTACTTGCTCTGTGTCCGCAGACTTTGCCAACGCCTTTCTACTAACCCCTACCTGGACCCTAAGGAACCTACCTTAGGGTTCCCTAGTATGATTTCTTTATACAAGTCCTTAAGGTAGGCTACCTGGGGTTGAGGTATTAGTTAAACCCTAAACCCTAAAGAAGCTGCCGACGGACACTTGTCTACAAGCCCTTCAAAGCCTACATAAACCCGATAAACCCTATATGAACCCTCTAAACCCTGTAAACCTAGGGATCTAAGGACTCACATATTAGGGCTTTTGGGCCCAAAGACTATACTATATAAGGCTTTTGGGCTATTTTGATCCCTAGGATAACCCTCGCCCTAAACCCTGAACCCCAAACCCTAGACCCTAAACCCCAAACCCTAGACCCTAAACCCTAGACCCTAAACCCTAAACCGTAAACCCCTGAGCCGGCAGTTCTACTTCTGTGCATCCTTTTGGATCCGGTGCCTGCGCTGTGCTGGCCAGCTCCAGAAGCTGACCCAGAGGCTCCATGTATAGTACCATTATGGAATTAGGTCCCCAAAGCCATAATATGGATGGTCTTTTGGGACCTAATTCCATAATGGTACTGTATATGTAGCCTCTAGGTGATGAACTTAGGGGAGCAATACTTTAGGGGCCTTAATAATTTCTTGTATTTCCTTTATAAAGGGATCCTTAAGGGTTTTTTTAAGGGATGTAGAAGGGATCTAATAGAGTTGAGGGTTTGGGGTAATATGGGAGTGGGCCCTTACAATAAGGATCCTACTATTTAGGCACTCAAGGTCCTCTGTTTTCCGAAACTCCCATATCTAGACCCTTTAAAGTTCCTGAATCGCTCTACTCTGTACTCTATGTACAGCATACTGTATCATACTAAACTATTATATACCCTCCACAACCCCATTCTTATTGTTGCTGAGCAGTTGGGAACAGGATGACACGCACAAATCAGGCGGTGGCGTCGAAGCATGGCCCCTCTGCAGGATGACACTAAGGTCATGTGCGATCGTGGCTCAAGCACCTATGAAGGGCACGGCGAAGTGCAAAAGGTTCGTTGTGAATTGCAGTCCTGTTTCGGATGCAGCTGAGGGTTTGAGTGCGCGTGTGTGTTGTGAGCCTGGAGTCCCCATTATCTTTGTGATTTCTAGTTACAATGCATTAGATGATAACTCCTCATCAGATTCGTCAAAGGCTCCAGAACTCCCCTCATCCAAGTCATTATTCGGTCATCACAGATGCTTCACCTCAACCCTTAAGCCCCAATCTTCATCACTTATGATTATCAAAGGGGAACCGGAGGGACCCTTAATGGGGACCCCTACCCTATAACGGGCTATATAATGGGTATATAACAGGTATATGAAGGGTATATACCTATAGGGTCCTTGTTAAGTGTCCCTCCTTTTACCCTTGGAGATTAAGGCTCCCAGATTTGAGCAGAAGCCTCTTCGACGCCGCTCCTTGTGGCGGGTCATAGCATCAGATGCCGGATGATCCCTCTGTTTACCCAGAGGCTCCAATATCCCTTAATTAAGGAACATTCCTTAAATCATAAAAGGGGTCCTATATTGAATTTAAGGAATACTCCTCAATTAAGAAGGGATATTGGAGTCTCTGTTTACCCAGAGGCTCCATAGCAATTGCTTTTTGTGGTTCATGTGTAAGAATCCTAGAAGGTAATCCTAGAATGGAGCCTATGGGACCCGCGAAAGCTGTTCAATTAGCCTAAATAACCTTGAGTGCTAAAGCTTCCAAGGCTCGAAAAATGAGCTACCATGCTTCATGCAAGGGTAATTAAAAGGTACCCTCCTCGTTGTAGCATCTTTTCAGGCTGCCGGGGTGTCTTTGTGGCATCAGCAGTGCCTCAACGAGACCCCGGCAGCTGCCGCGAAGTCTCCCCGTTATTTTATGTTGTTCTGTGTCATAAGCTGAGGCATAAGTTTCCTTCCTTAGTCGGCTTATGTCATAGTTCTATGTATGATATTCTGTATAATATTATGTCTAGGTTTCTGTGGTGGCTTTCGTCTACATTTATACTAACATTTTATATCAATACGATTATGAAAGTTTACAATCTACACTAAATACAAATTATTGGAGTGCATTTGTTCAAGGTAATCATAATTGAAGTTTTCATGCTCTTTAAATAGTTGAGATGTTTTTTAGACTGTAAGTGTCTTTCCCATTTACATCTCGTTATTTTGCACTGACAATAACAACAATCAACTGTTTCACTTGTCTTACTCAGTATTTATTCTTCATGTTCTTTGTAAAATGCTTTTGCTTCTTTTGTTAGCCTTTCTCTGTTGTTGTCTCTAAATATAGCTTTCTCTTCTAAACATTGATTACTTAATTTTCGCTCTGGTTCAAAATGTTCTTCTCCTTTTCCTTTTTGCATTTAGAACACGTTTGAGTAGATGGTTTAAGGTCAGAATTCTCCATATAATATGATGGGGCTATTTCTTTGAATGTCTTTTAAAGGAAACATGTTCATAAGACTCACAGTAGGTGAACCCGAAAAACTCCGAGTATGAACCCAAAAACTGAAAAAAGCTACCGTAGACAACTCCCAAACTGCCAGTAGACAACTCCAAAAACTGCCAGTAGACAACCCCAACAACTGACAACCACAAGTAGCCACAACTAACAACTAACAGCAGTCAGTAGACACAACTAACAACTGAGAGTAGAAGACCAGCTGTCAGCCCCAACATCTGCCAGCCGTCAAAGTTGCCCAATTATACGATTTTCGGTGGTTGGTTGTCATAGTTATGGTAGAATGGGCCCCAATGCCCTATTCTAAACATTAACGCCCCTACATTACGAGGTTTCTCTTCAAAAACCTAATGAACGTCGGAATTGTTGGTAGTATTTCTGAGGGCCACTTACCATAACTATACATACTCTACACCAAAGCCGTTGACTACAATCCTACCGTAAGAACCGTGATCAAAACCGTCAGAAAGCGTTGTAAAATCCTTACAGACACCGAAACAGGTTTCTTGCATGATAAACACAAGAAGCCCTCAACCCCCAAGCCTTAAACCCTAAAACGAAGCCCTCAGAAGCACTGCGACAAAAATCCGCAACCTTTGGCGCAGCACTAGAGCCGGGAAGTTCCTGAAGGCTTTGCAAAAGGCTTGTAGAACCTTGTAGGGATTAGGGTTTAGCGGCTATGCGTTTAGGGTTTAGGATAAGCCATTCTAAAGGAATCCTCACAAAGTCCCTAAAACGAACCTGAGTGCAAGGCCCGAGCACAAGACTGTGAGCTTGTACAAGCTCTGGCCTCAAAATTGTGCCAAGTCCAGAGACTCCTATATCCCTCAGTTAGGGAATATACCAGAAAATAGTAGGATACTTCAGACTTCATATGATTTAACGTATATTCCTTAATTAAGGGGCATTGGAGTCTCTGGGTAAGTGGCGCTGGTGAGTGTGTCAAGGGATCCCAAGACATGTTGGTGAGTGTAGAGGTTCGGAGTTCTGATGATAAAAAAGTAGTCGTATCCATCCCTACAGCCCAGGCATTTACGGTTTCGAGCCAGGCGTTGGTGTATAGACCCAAGGCCGAGGGTTTTGCTAACTTCAAGACTTCCCCTGCCAGTAGTACTGATTGTTCCTTGCTTGGTCGTGGCTCCAGGTTGAAAGATATGTCAAGGAAGGCAAGTGGTCGCTGTCATAAGGGACTTCGGGGAAACCTGTAATCCCTTCCCCCACATATTGAAGGGGGGAACCCCCGGATAGAAACTCTGAAAGTGTTTTTGATACTAGCGGGTACTTTTTGTTTGTTCTGCCACTCTCGAGTTATCGTGCTCTTGCTCCTGCTCTGGCTCTAGCTGCCACGCTGGCTTTTGCTCCTGCTTCTGCTGCGTCTCTTGCGCCTGCTCCTGCCCTTGCTGTTGCCCCGGCTTTTGCTCCTGCTCTTGCTCTTCCTCCCGCTCGTGCTTTTGCTGATGCTCCGGCTTTTGCTGTCTGTCCGTCGGTCTGTCTGTCTGTCTGTATGTATGTATGTATGTACGTTTGTGTGTGCATGCATGCATGTTTGCATGTCTGTATGTTACATACGCGCATGTATGGAAGTAACTAGGTAGGTACAAGCATGTATATTCTATATGTAGAGAGAGAGAGGGATAGATAGATAGATAGATAGATAGATAGTCAGATAGATAGATAGATAGATAGAGGGACCCCATCTCAAGCCTGAGTAAGAACTTTCCATACTTTCCATAAAGGTACATTGACATTGACCACCAGGGTCCCCACAGATCAAAAACGAGCCCTGAACCGGTTTATTGGCGGCTGTTAGGGGTTTAGGGTGTTTCGCTGTCAGCCTTTGGACCCCAGGGGGCCTGGGCCTTTTCTTTTCTTAAGGATTTGTGGGCTTATAGGTAGTCTTAAGGTTCTTTGAGGGCTCAGGGCTTCGTGGTGGGCTTTGGGGGGCGGGAAGGGGTTTACGGGTTCGTGGTTCCAGATCCTCTTGGGCCATTAAGTTTTCTAGGTCTCGAGCTTGGGCAGACCAAGGCTTTGGGTCTGCAGCTTTCTGCCAAAGCCCTAAACCCCACCTGTGGATCCGAAAACACCCCGTTATTAACGGCTCATAGCTTATCATAACCGTCTCTTTTTGTAGGTTTTCTTGATGGGCTTGGGGCTACAGGTAAACCCGAGTCCGTAAACCCTTTCCCATTTGCTCTTTGGCTCAGTCTCACCAGAGCAGGCTTTGAGCGATGGGAACGTTGAACACAGCGATCAATGCGACTTAGGAAAGGCCCGTGCATCAGCGTCCCCAAAGCTCAACCCGAACAGACAGGCAGCATAGTCGACTTACACCTGCGAGGGTTAAGGATTGCAGGTCTTCTGCATAAAGATCGTAGTTGGTTCATATGGGTATTGCATCATTGTTATGTTGAAAACTTGCTAGTATTGCTAATCACTACTTATCCTACCAGTATGAGTATTATCATGATGGGCGCCCCGTGGAGACTCTTGGTTGCTGCCTGCCTGTGGCATCACATCGAAGGGCAGGACTACCAGGTCACCGACCGCCGCTTCCTCAGCTTGGGGTTTACTATAGGGGCCTAAATAATTTGAAACGCTTCGCGTCGTCCGCCTCGGCCCGGCCTTAGGGTTTTTGAGGCTTTTGGTTTCGTCCTTTCCGATCCATGTGTTGTCCGGGCTTTTAGGTTTTATCAGGCCTAGGTTTAGGTCAGGGGGTTGGATTAAGAGTTCAGGGGCAAGCCGCAACAAGTAAGGGTGCTATAGGAAATTTTCTGTATTCGGAGACTCAAATATACGTAGGTGTTGCAAGCATTGGCGGCATGTGATGTTTATATATGTTTATCCCAAGAAGTTCGCAATGTACTTATCCCCAAGGAACGAAGGAAGTCAAGTGGAGAGCAAACAACAAGAATCGAAAGAAATGAGCACGAACAACTCAAACGGTCTAGGGTTTAGGGTTTAGGGCAAGGCAGGGCAGGGCGGGCAGGGCAGGGCAGGGCAGGGCGGGCAGAACAAGAGCCTGATTTAGTTAGAGAAACACTGATGCGGTTGATGTGGAAATTGTTGCATTTCTGAATCCTGATATTCGACATAGCCCCTAGCTGGGCGATAGCGATGCTTGAATCGCCGATGTCGGAACCCTGCACCCTACTGCCTAAAGCCTTCTACACCGTTCCAAGCAGCGTAGAAGTCGTAGCAGCAGCGGATGCTTGCACTGGCACCGGAACTTAGCAAAAGACAGGGGGGGAGGGGGGGAAGGGCGGGGGGAGGGAGGAGGGGGGAGGGGGGGAGGAGGCGAAGAGAGGGAGCAGGAAAGTGGGTGAGACTGCCTACAGAGAGTCAAAATCCGTTGGAGGAGCTGAGAATTCCTGCCGGACCTTGGGGCTCATCTGCAGGTTTCCATTTTTTAAGTCGGGTACCCCCTCCACGCGGTATCGCCAGGTGTCACTGGAAAGGGGATTAAGAGGTGGGGAACAGAGCGAATAGGAACCTGACCGCTTCGGTCGGGGCCGAGGTGAATTACCAATACCATTTAGGGGTCCCTTATTAAAAAAAAATTCGTGTAATGGGCCCCAAAAGCTTATTCTACTTATAAGGCAAGGCTTCAGGGTTTCACGGTTTGGGGCTTCAGGGGTTTAGGGTTTCAGGGTGTGGGAGTGTAGGGTATTGAGCTTGAGATCTGAACAACTACCAGAAGATGCCTTTCAGGTGTTTCGGGGTTGAGGTCATACCTGTATCCCCAAACCCTACAACATAGTAGGTTATGACCCCTTAATTAGAGGGTCGAACCCTTAAAACGGTAGGTTTTCGGATCCCCAGGTAAGCCCCTAAACCCTAATACCCATAGCCCTATGGATCCCTTTATAGGAATCCCTTAAAGGAGTCCTTAAAACCGGTAGGGTTTTCGGATCCACCGGGAAACAATACTACCAGTCAAACGAAGTGTGTCGGCATTTGCGACTGCGGCGTCTGAAGTCTTCAGAATCGCCGAATCGCAGATCGGGAACCCAAAGTTTCCAGCTTAGGGATCTAGGACTTAGGATTTAGGCTTTAGGGTTTAGGATTTAGGGTTTAGGGTTTAGGGTTCAGCTGCTCCGGATCGAGCAGTTCTAAAGTAGAGTTGTATTTACGGTTTAGAAATAACACCCACCCACCCTTAGAATCCCATAACATAAGCCATATAAAGTCCTTCATCATCATTCAGAGAGTTGTACCTACAACCTAGCCTGTCACACTTTAATGTCGCCTTCCCACACCACTAGGAAAATACAACAGTTCATATTGCTCCCACAGCTGATTTAATTATTTAAGGTTGTCGAGCTTACACTTATTTTAGATTCCTCCACCTGCACTTATGAATGGATTTGTTAACCTATTGTTTCGCTTATTGCGGCATTAGGAAGAAAAACCTCTTGTAGAATTGTTTCGCTTATTGGGGCGTTCGGAATGGAAATCTCTTGCAGAATTGTTTCGCTTATTGGGGCGTTTGGAAGGCAAACCTCTTGTGGAATTGTTTCGCTTATTGGACCATTCGGAATGGAAATCTCTTGCAGAATTGTTTCGCTTATTGGGGCATTTGGAAGGCAAACCTCTTGCAGAATTGTTTCGCTTATTGGGGCGTTCGGAATGGAAATCTCTTGCAGAATTGTTTCGCTTAATGGGGCGTTAGAAAGCAATACCTCTTGCAGAATTGAAGCCCAAACCCTAGGCCCCAAAACCCTAAAGCCCAAACCCTAGGCCCTAAACCCTAAAGCCCAAACCCTAGCCCAAACCCTAGGCCCTAAACCCTAAAGCCCAAACCCTAGGCCCTAAACCCTAAAGCCCAAACCCTAGGCCCTAAACCCTAAAGCCCAAACCCTAGGCCCTAAACCCTAAAGCCGACCTGACCTTAAACGACGAAGGGGTTGACCTTAAACGACGAAGGGGTTGACCTTAAACGACGAAGGGGTTGACCTTAAACGAAGAAGGGGTTGACCTTAAACGACGAAGGGGTTGACCTTAAACGACGAAGGGGTTGACCTTAAACGACGAAAGGTTTGACCTTAAACGACGAAAGGTTTGACCTTAAACGACGAAGGTTTGACCTTAAACGACGAAGGGGTTGACCTTAAACGACGAGCACCTTCGTCGTTTAAGGTCAACCCCTTCGTCGTTTAAGGTCAGTCCCTTCGTCGTTTAAGGTCAAGTTTTGGTCGATTAGGGTCGAACCTTCGTCGTTTAAGGTCAAACCTTCGCCGTTTAAGGTCAAAAACCCGGGGGTGACCTTAAACGACGAAGGGATTGACCTTAAACTACGAAGGGGTTGACCTTAAACGACGAAGGGGTTGACCTAGGGTTTAAATTATCATATGAAAGAGAGGTTTAGGATTTAGGGTTTAGGGTTTAGGATTTAGGGTTTAGGGTTTAGGGTTTAGGATTTAGGGTTTAGGGTTTAGGGTTTAGGGTAGGAGTTTCGGAACACCAACCAGATTCAGTGTAGACACTAAGCCTCAGCCCGGAGTTGCGAAGGGAATGCAGGGTTCAAACTTTCAATCGGTTTGAATTAAGGAGTGCTCGAAGCGTTTAAACAGAAGGGCTTCAGGAACTGCGCCCACATGCCTGACTGGCCCATCTCGGTAAGAGTAGCTGCTTGTGGCACTCTTTTGACGAGTCATCCGTGTAATGACTGAGTACATCCCTATGCCCTCCAGCCTGAAAGGCTCCACATGGGAGTTTCCGCAAATTAGGGGTACCTTATTTTGGGGTCCTTATGTTAGGGATCCTGCTATTTAGGGTGCTATAT